ATATATAAATATATATATATATAAATTTGAACTTACTTCCATTGCGCAATTATTAATTCCCTTTACCCATTTTATTTTTCATTTTTCTGCTTTGCTAACCTGATTCTATTTCAAAATCAATTTTCCCCCCTGATTGTTAGTTTGATAAAGAATTTTAAAGATACAAGATAAAAGAAAAAATACTTAAAAAGAAAAAATGCTTCACACCTTTCAACTAATTGACAAACTTCTAAAAGACAACTTCACTGAAAAGATTTATTTGATAGCAACTAAGTTGAAAAATCAGAATAAAAAAAGGCTTTCAACAGAAAATAAACATTGACATTTTAATTTTAAATAAATAAATAAAAATCTTCATTTATGCAGAAAAAAAAGCAGTTTTTCTTAACTCGTCAAAGTTACAAAAACTAAGCTTAAATAGCTTAAAAGTTACCCCAGGTGTGAAAGAAAAAAATCAGGCAGTACAATCTAAAAGTGAAGTTGTAAAAAAAAAAGGCAAAATAGCGAAAATAAGAAACTGTTGAAGATTAAAGAGCATTTTTTCTTATTATTATTTTTCCCCTTTAGGAATATCGAAGAAGTTTATAATAGTAAACAATATACTTGCATTACATAGTTGACAAATATTCCAAGAAAGAAATCTCATCTGACTGACAAGGACAGTGTCTCCCAATTTGGGGTCCAAGCCCAATCGCCTGGGTTAATTTGATTAAAAAAGGGTAAATTTGAAATTTAATTCCCTTGATAACTAACATCACATGGTCCAGCCCTCTAAACATTGAAATGTATGTTAAACAGAAATCATTGAGAATTTAGAGAAAATGTTAGTTTTTCTTAAAAGAAAAGAAGAAAAAAATTAAGTTATTTTTTTTGAAGTGCAAAATCTTTATGATGTAGTTATTTTGTACGGCTGTGGATTTCCTTTATTTTGCAAAGGATAAAAATCGAAACATTTTGTGGTGTGAATAGTGGGGGGAGGGGAGTAAAGTAAAACAAGTTACTTTTTAATGAGAACGTTTCTTTTTTTTTTAGCGTTCAGATTTTTTTCTCTTTCTGTTACGTAATATTCAGTCGAAGTGATATCAAAACGAGGATAGGATGTAACTTATATTACGAATGAATAAAGCACAAATAAAGATACAAAAATAGGCTTGCTATAGTTTTGGTTATAAAAACAAGAATCTTCCTCTAAGTCTAAACACAAAATGACACTAGAACATTAGTAAAAGTGGCGAATACATTCCAATAAGAAAAAAGTGGTTAAACAAATAGGAGAAGCGAAACAAGCTTGAATAAGTATAATAAAGAAATTATGAAACAAGTAAGAGGGGGGTTGGTAGGGATCTCTGGGTAACAGGATGTGGAAATTAAATTGAATAGATTTTCAAACATTAGAAAAGAAATGAGTGCTAAATAAGAACATTAACTAACAAAAAAATGGCTAGTGTAAAAGAGCAGTAACTCTAGTGTTGAATGATTTTAGCAGAAGAAACCTACGATTCGAATTCTCACGATGTAGGACGATAAAATATTGCTCTTTTTGCAAACCTTGACTTGTGGGAATCATTCTATATTTTGAAAAATTTGAATAATTTAGTTAATGCTCTCTTTTAGTATTCCATTCTTTTCTAATGTTTTGAAATCTATTCTAATTTAATTTCTGCATGTCACACCCTGGGATTCCCAACCGCCCCCCCCCCCAAACTGAAGGATGATCATAGTTTATGACTGAATCAGCTGAACAAAAGAGTTCAAGTTAAAAAACATCCAGCCACAAAAGTCATACTTTCAAAAAATATCAGGTAATAAAAGTCTTGTTCCTACTATCTTTATCGGATTAAATTCGAAAAACAATCGGTTGAACAAAACAGTGAGGCTTGCGATATCAGTTAACTAAACATGAAGCATCAGCTCACGCAGGGGATACAGCACTCGCCTTCCAATGAGTCGAACCTGGTTCGAATCCCAGTCGATACGTACTGCGCACTCGGCTTGCAACGACCACGGTGCTGACGTGAAATATCCTCAGCGGTAGACGGATCATGGGTTATTGTCCCCCTGCCGTCAGGATAACCATGGGAGGTTCTGGAGGTCTTACTCACTACGTAACGCACGCAAATGCGGTTTAACTCAGTCAAGAAGTCCTCCACGAAGGCAAATTTCTCCCAATACTCGATCCAGGAGTTCCCTTGGTCTTCTGGATTGGGTTCAAAATTACAAGGCTGCGGAGTTAAACATTAATAGTCGTATACCCATAAAAAAATTGGGTCTGCTGTTCAACGACGGTTATAAAATAAAAGAAAAAAATAATCATAATAAATAATAATTAAAATAGCATAAAAAAAATTCCAGTACAATTATTTTGTGCTTGAATTTTCCTTCGCCCTTTTACATTACCCTACAATAATGGAAAATGCACTTTCAGTTTTTCACAAATTTCAAAATTTCTCAAGTTGTTGTTGTTGTTAATTTACGTCGCACTAGAGCTGCACAATGGGCTATTGGCAACGATCTGGGAAACATCCTGGAGGATGATCCGAAGACATACCATCACAATTTTGATCCTTTGCGGAGGGGATGGCACCCCCGCTTCGGTAGCTCGACGACCTGCGAGCGAAATCGAGCACGAAATTTCTCAAGAATTACTTAAAATATTATTTTATAACTTTAGAGGTGCTTAGTTCATGAGATTTTTCATTCTTAGAAATAAGATTTAAAGCTTTCAAAGGTTTCATAAACCCACAATAAATTACGAACGAAACAAGTGCGCTCTATGCCAGAAAATCAAGCAATAAGTTAGTAACTTGCATCGATTATTAATTGTTATTTTATTTTATTAGCCGACCCAATTTTAAGGTTTATGACTGATAATGTTAAACTCCGTAACCTTGTCATTTTGAACCCAATCCAGAAGACAAGGGAACTCCTGGATCAAGTATTGGAAGAAATTTTCCTTCTTGAAGGACTTTTTGATGGAATTAACCCGCATTTCCGTTACATGAAGAGGAATACCACGAGAACCTCCCACGTCACGAGACGGTAAAGGGGCTCTTACCCATGATCCATCTACCACTAAGGATATTTCACGTCAGCACTGTTGTCGTTGCAAGCCGGATGCGAATTCGTATCGACCAGCCATCGCTGGGATTCCAACACCTCATTGGAAGGTGAACGCTCTATCCTCTGAGCAATCATTACTCATTGATTGTTATTTGACATGACTGTATAAAATTTCGTTAACCTAGCTTTAATGTAAAAACTGTAGAATTAAAAATTCTGTGGTCGGTTGCAGAGCAGTACCATGGGTACAGAGATCTGGAGAAAATTTCCTTCCCTTCAGTTCTACGTCTAAATTGAGAAAGCGACCTCACAAATTAGATCCTCTGCACTAGAACCTTAGCGCACAGATGGCGCTATGGTTTAAAATTCATCGTGAGACTTCCGGGTCACTACTTCCGATTGATTTTTTACACGTAAGCTTGAAAATGAGCGCCATCCAATATTATTATACTAATAGTGTTTGCAATATAACGCATTCTTTCAATTTAAATTTCAACGAAGCAAACAACAAATGAATTCGGAAGACTTCACAAACATACTATGATGCAACCCCAAAAATGTCAAACGGTAATATATTACACAAATATAGCCAAATGAGGGATAGCACTCAAAATATGGCAAACCTTATACTTTATTTATGATTTGATATCAATTTTCTGAAATTTGTTTTAGGCTCACAATCTGTTAAAATTTGTAAATTACTGAAAACTCTTATGAATGGCAATAACGAGTAAATTTTATCACAAATTTCAATAATAAAACTTCATGAAATCGGCGATCGAAATATTGGGCTACAGGTGGCGTAGAACAGAACTCTCTACCTATAGCAACACTTCTCATGCTTTCACCATTAGCATGTAGGGAGTCATAAGAGAGGGAAGTGCATCAGTTTATGTCCTGATTTTCAAATAGATTAAAATCTTTTAAGTTAGGAAACTATGTAAAACTTAAAACTACATTGAAAATAGTTCTGAAGGAAACCGTCGTAGACATTTTAGAAACAAACTTGTGACAATTGCGCCCAAAAAATATTAAGAAAAGAGAAAATTTCGTAATACATTCCTATACAACTGAAAATAAGAGGAGAGGGAAGGGTCAATGGCATGGAACCGGTCTTCTTCTCAAATGGTATATTCAGGCACTAGTGTGATCGCGAATATTAAATCTGTTCATGCATCGCTTCGTAAGCATAACATAAGCGAAAGAACACACCGGAAATTTTTTGAATTTCTTTCGGTTTTAGAAAGCTTGTTATTGCTTACTTTCAGTGAGCCACCCAAACGATCTCACTATAAACGAACGGAAACCTTTGCATAGGTGAATTTTCTACATCCAGCATGATTGATTTTAATTCATAACCGTCGTTGAACAGCAGACCAATTTTTAGGTTTACGACTACTAATGTTCAATTCCCTAGCCTTGTAACTTTGAACTCAATCCAGAAGACAATAGGAACTCCTGGATCAAGTTTTGGGAGAAATTTTCCTTCGTGGAGTATTTTTTATGGAACTAATCCGCATTTGCGTTACGTGGAGAGGAAGATCACGATCGCGATCTTCCTCGAGAACCTCCCACGGTCAGCCAGATTTCAAAGGGATTCGAACCCATGATCAGTCTACCACTGAAGATATTTCACGTCAGCACTGTTGTCGGTGCACGCCGGATACTGATTAATATCGGCCAGTCTTCGCTGGGATTCGAACCCGGTTCACCTCATTGGAAGGCGAATACTCTATCCACTGAGCCATCACGGCTCAATAGGATTGATTGGAAAATTTTCACTGCATGCAATTTGCTTTAGCAAGCATTTATTCGATTCCCGCTCATGAAATTTCGAAGGAAAAAACAGAAAAGAAAAGAAACCAAAACCAAACCACTGACCACTCTTTCTGCAATTCTCGGCTATCTTGGTTAAGTTCATTCCTTTACTTGTGTTTTTACCCGTAATATATAAAATGGCAACAGCATTATAACACAGCGAAAAGCGAACGAAATTGCATATTTTGAATGTTTTAAATGAAAAGAAATGTGTAATCCACATAAATTGCGTATAAACTGCGATAGAATGATGATTTAGTTGTATATACGAAACATTCTGTTCGGAAAATTGAATTTTTCGTACCATTATCATTGTTGACTTGTTTATCAGTGAACTCAGTGCCACTATCAAGTTAACGTGATTGGCTGAAACATGTATTTACGCGAATTTCGTTATCTTTATACGGTCTTTCTCGGCACTATTTAGATCCATGATTATTATAAAAAACGTGATTAAATATCTTCATTCCATTCTTGTTCTCTCTCCATTGCACTTGGTTTATTCTTCTCTCAAAACAATTATGTCTAGTGGCGATGATTGTAAACGTGACGGCTTGAGTGCCGAAGAATTATTTGGTGCCGGTGATGGATTGACCTATAAGTAATTAATTATTTCATTAGCTAAATGCATAATAATTTAGGTAAAATTGGCAGTATATGAAAAATTAAAAGTACTTGTGTTTATTGGTCGGGCTAAACGTCATAGAAAGAAATTTTTTTGTTAAATTTACAGAGGATTAGTAACTTAGAAAGCATTGTTGTCAATTATTTTATTAGACAGTTTTTTTGATCGCTGGATATTATAGATTCGATTTCCTTATCGATATTGGAATTTAATTAATGCTATATTACCCTTATAATAGTTCATTGGAGTTAGTATGAATTTTGATTTATTGGCTTAATACACATTCATTAATTTTATCTGAATTATGACAATTTTACTTTTTTGATTTTCTTAATGAAAAACTGTATTAGCGCTATCTGTTTTTAAAAATTTTCAAGTATGTTATGAGGATATATAAATTAAACAAGAATATTTTTAGCATATTTTCAATGGCATAAAGCAAGTTAGAATATGATGGTTTTGCAGTTATATGTGCAATAAATGAAATAGGCATAAGTTTTATGATTCAATTTAGTTACTCTTATTGAAAGTATATTTGTTATGTTTGTATTAGTGTTGTTTTAGTGGAAGAAATATGTTTATTTAAATTGTAATTAAATTTATCTTTTGTGGATAGTTAGTCTAGATAATTGCAAGTAATCATAACATATATTTTTTCTTCTTATCCTGGCATTGCATGCTTGCATTTGGCAATTTTATTTTCTAAAGTAATCAAGCACATAGGCTTTCATAAATTAGGTGTTTCTGTTCGAGCGTAGGAGTTCATTTTTTCTCTTAATTAAATCTCATTCTTTTTATGAAGTAAAAAAAAAAAAAAAAATTAAGCTCTTACATAATAGGTACATCATTTTGGTACAGGCAACATTTTTATAATCATGCTAAGACTGTACCGAACCTTATGTTAAGATTTTACCTACATTTTTATTTAATACATAAAAATTTGTCACTGTGCCTTATTGGGAGATATTTGTGTATTATGATTTGCCACTCCAACTACAATCGCCAAGCCACAAAATCAGTTTTAAGCAAGAAAATTTTTTTTTTTGAGGTTTGCCTGTGGGTGGTTATGAGTACCCTTCGAGTTGGTCCCATTGTCTAATATTTTTTTTAGTTTCTCACGGGCCAGGAAGTTGCTAAGACCTGGCGATTATTCTGCCACAAATCACGACCCCCCTCCCTATAACATAAAATTAGGCGCATACTAGTTAACATTGAAATTTTTTGATCCTGCAAATGCACAATAAAATATCAGCATGTGATTGTGTTTATTCATAACATAATGAATTCTATACTGTTGTTTTCAAAAATATTTGAAACTACTGAATGGTAACTGAAGCTCTTTAGGTTTTTCAATGTTCAACTAATACAATTCCATGCTCCTGTTAGCCATGGTAGATGCAATCTTTTGATTAGTAGATTAATTGCTATTTCAAGTGTCTTGAAAGTATGAATTTTATCTAAAATTCAATTGAGCATTTTTTCAGGAAGATATTTTTATTTTTCACTGGAAGGTGAAGGAAAAAAGCTAAACTATTAGTTCTAGCTAAAACTGTTTGTTATTATAAAGATAAAACTTCTTAGAAAGCTTTCCAGCAAATACTTTCCATTCTAGTAAATAGTATAAAATCTTTCTGCTAAAATTCAGTATTTAATTAGTTTCATACAGATACATTTTAGGTATTTTCATGATAGGTTTTTTCACTTACAGAATTTCTCAAATAATAAATGAGAATACTGTGTAAATTACTATGCATTTTTTTAATTTTTAAAAAAATTGGCTATTATATCTTATTTTCTATTGTGTAAGTCTAACTTTACAAGTAAATATTTTTTTGTATCTATTAAAGAATAAAAACTTTTTATTAAGGGTATTGATAATAATCTGTACCCTTTAGGGTAAGAGTGAAACTCTCTATCTTGATAAAAAAAAAAATTCTTTTATATCCATATTTCTAATAATGAAAATAGTCTGACCCACCCTTGGAGGTCACTAAATTAAAAAAAAAATTTTTTTTAGAACTTATGTAAATTTTTAAAATAAATTATAGAAGATATCTGCTGCCGCCGTAAAAAAACCTGACTTTTTTTCAAAATTTGCTGTGAAAATCAATAGATCTTACTTCAAAAATAAAATAATTATAATTTGTCATTTAAGCAAAAATCTTGAGGAAAAAATGAAAAATGAACTTGATATAATTATTGGAATTAACTTTATGACTTGTTTTGAATGCACCTTTTGTTAGGATGGAAAAATAAAAAATCTGTTCTTATTGGTAATTGGGGTTCATGAAATCCGACAAATATTTTTTTCATAACTTGAGAAAGTAATTAAATTTTCTTAAGTAAACTGTAGATAAATTATGTTAATGTATTATTTTAAGACATAAAAACTTTTTTTTTTATGTATACTTTATTTAATCATATCTGTGAAACAAATTAGAATAAAATTTTTATAACTGCATTCGGTCTTAGAAATTTTTTTACTCACTTATGCAGCATAAGTCAGAATTTGCAAAAAATGACTTTAATGGAGAAATTAAGACTCACATTTTTTAGTCGCTTCATGCAAAGAAAAAAATGAAGAAAGAAGTTTTGAGCTTAAAAACCCCCTTTTTTTTCTGGCCATTTTGGTGAACCCTACTTTATAAAGCCCCACATATAATTAAATTGTCTTTAACATTGAAAACATTTTCCATTTGTCAATACATATAATCTTTCTTTTTTTTAGTGATTTCTTGATACTACCTGGCTATATTGATTTTTCTGGTGATGAAGTGGTAAGTGTGTTATAATTTTATTTTGTTTTATTGTTTGAGAAATTAAATTATATATTACTTAGTTAAATATGTATATTGTGGCCCTAGCTAGATCTCGGGGAGTTTAAAATGCGGAAAAGCTTAGTACCAAATATTTTATTAATATACATAAAGCACACGGACAAACAAACATAAGTTTAATTAATTAAGAAAAGGAGAAATAAAGAAGGTCCATTTGGTTCGAAGTCGGAACATCCACTGTCTAGTATGTGGTGGCGCTGTGGTAGCTTGATTGCTACAATATTGATATATGCCTTGCTTTTAAAGGTTTCATAGTTTTAGTTATTAATTTACCTTAAAACATGTTACTGCATAAGTCAAATTTTTTATAATTCTTCAAATTTGGTTCTCTTAACTTTTATTAAAAAAAAAATATCCTATTAATATTTTGAATTTTTTTTTAATCATATGCAATATTTTGAATATTACATATAATTATAAAATTTCAAATCTGAATTGTATATAATGTTATTTTTTTTGTTTTCTTTTATAGAATCTGACTTCTCGTTTGACTAAAAAAATAACTTTAGAAGCACCTCTTGCCTCTTCTCCTATGGATACTGTCACTGAGTCAGAAATGGCCGTAGCAATGGCAGTAAGCTTCTAATTATGTTTTCAATATTTACTCTCTTATACCTTCATCTTTTTTTATGTATTTTCTGAAAGATTGAGCACACTCTGTTAAAAGATATTTTTCTTTTAGATCTTTGAATTATTAATATGTCTTTATTGTATTAACTACAGAGTCCAGTAAGAAAATCCATTTGTAGTTCTAATATAAAGCTATGCATAAAAAAAATTTTGAATTAAATACTGCTCCTAATGTTAACATTTTCTGTTAAAAATTATGAAATTTTCCAAATTGTGCCCATTTGAACCATATTTAATAAAGGCATTATGCTCAATTGTCTAGTTTTTGTCATTAGCTAATGGCAGAACATTAAATTACTGCAAACAAAACTCTCAAAAAAGGAAGACTTACCAAATTAACTATATTTTACATATTTAGCATATGACTCCAAAAACTGCTTTGTAGTTAAATAAAAATTAAGAGTTTTAGAAAAAGATTCTTAGTGACGTTTTCAATTACACATTGAATAAGGATTTTATTTCCAATTGCAGGCCACAAAAACTATAAATTATGACATATATATGAATTTCATTGTAAGTATAAAAGAGCAGAGTGTGATTACACAGTTGGCTGGTGTAAACTAACCCTTATTGCTTGAATAGAAAAAATTTGTAATAGCATTTCATACTTAAATTTAGATTTTCAAAACAAATATACAACGTTCGATGTTAAATTTTTATAAATTATTATAGTGTGGCAGTTGGATCCATGGTTAAAACTAAAAAACTTGATAACATTTTAAATAGAATAATAAATTCTACCATTTAAATCAGAGATACTACTTCTCAAAATAGGCCAATTTTGTCCATGTTATTCTGAAAGTGTATTAAATGTCAAATAACTGAAAAACATTCTTGAATATTTGTCCATGAGTGTAAACATTTAGCTTAAAATTATGTGTTGCGGTTAAGTACCATCTAATTGTTTATAATATCAATGATCTGTTTCTTAGACTTCATTTAATTTTTACATTTTTTAAATTATAAGAAAGTATTGTAAATTATGTATTCTAATGATTCCAAGTGAGTGGCTACTTATAATTTTAACAGCCACTTATATTGATATAAAATTGCTGTATGTTTAAATACTAAATTTTCATTGCATTGTTGGTAATGTAGCTATTAACAGCAATGGCTTATATACTTGGTGACTTATTTACTTTTATTCTTTAAATATCACTTTTAAAATTATTTCTTTATGAATAATGTTTTATATTTTGTAGCTACAAGGTGGTATTGGTATCATTCATCACAACTGCACCCCAGAATTTCAAGCTAGTGAAGTTATGAAAGTTAAGGTATGAAAAGTTTCCTAATGTGATAAATTGGTTTACTGATTTCTGATTTTTTTTCATCTAAACTTTTGTTAGTAGGTTAAAGTTGATTTTACCTTAATTTCTGTGTACTACAAATTTTGATTATTTTGAGCTTTTATTAATGATCCATTTTTCCAAAACTCTTCAAGAGCAACAAGCATGCAGTTCTTTTATTTATGTATTTTTAAAAAAAATTTCTAGTTTTCAATTCCTTGTTTTTTAATCAAAATTAATCATAAATAGCAATATATTTTATAGTTTCATTTTTGATTTCTCATTTGTGTTAATTTTTTCATCTAGAAATACAAGCATGGTTTTATCCGGGATCCTATTGTTTTAAGTCCCAAACATCGCCTCAGGGATGTTTTTGATGTAAAAAAGACTAGAGGTTTTGCTGGTGTGCCCATTACAGAAAATGGAGAACTTGGTGGAAAACTTGTGGGGATAGTAACATCAAGAGATATTGATTTCTTAGGTGAAGAGATGTATGATACTCTTCTTTCTGAGGTAAATTGTTACATCAAACTAATCATACATTTTCTAAATCAATTGAAAGTTCCTGATATTGAAAGATTCTAATTTCTACACAATACTTTCATTATTTTTAATATTAATCAAGCTATCATAGTGCATTATCTAATAACATTTCTATTTAGAGCAAGGAGCCCACCCCAGCCCAGAAAACCCAATTCGATTTTTCAGATTGGACCTATCCCAGAAAAACTCAATGAGTTTTTTCACACTTTGTTATTTCCAATCAATTTTCTTTGCAATTATCAAACCAAATTGTTCTTCGAAACTATCAACTGCTCGTTTTATAAATTTAACGAAATAACTTATACAAAATTATATGAAGTAAAACATATTTCAGTTATCTAATTTTTACAAACAAAGTTATGAACAAATGAGCTATATAAATGAAAAAATAAAGTTTGTGATTAACAAAAACATATTGCTAAATTAGCAAATATGTGTAATATGTAGACACATAATACACAGTTTATTTGGTTACATATATCCAATGTTTCAAAAGGAAATAAGATTTTTTCCGATAAAATATAGAAAAAGTTTTCAGCTTTAAAATATTTTTTTTTTATTGAGTATGTTAAAATATTCGATCAAAGTAGCCCTATTTTATATTAAGATCTCAATTATAGACCATACTTGTTTCCATCTGTCTTTGCAAAGAAATCTATTTTTAAATATAAAGTTTTGAATATTGAACCCAGAATTTGGCAAAAATCATAATGTAGAATATCAGTTGGAAGCTAAAGCATCTCATCTAATTATTTCTTAAGTTTTTTATTCTGATCACCCTTATCATTTTCATACATATAATTATTCTCAATGAAATGGAACAGCAATTTTATTTTTCTCAGAATTATTAAAGGACATCTTGCAGCATGTTAAGTTTTCAATTTGAGCAGTGTGACTTTTATTTTATTTTTTAAATTTTCTGTCAGGCAATAGCAAAATTAATGATGAGTCATCTGATGGCTCAATATAAAATTAGCCTTTAAGTAAAATATGCCAGGAGTAAAAATTATAAAAGAAAGTGTGTCATAGAATTTGTAAGATAAGAATGTTTCACATTTAAGTTTCAACATTTTTTAAAATTTCTTTTGATGCTATTATGTATATTAGGTTGTGNATTTGATTCTGATGATTCCTTCATGGTGTTGCATTTTCTACAAACAGCAGTTTATATATATAATTTCTTTTGTACATTTGGTTTCAACTTGTGTATTAATATGCTTTTTTTCGTTCTCTTTATTAGGTAATGACCAAGAGGGACGATTTAGTCTGTGCCAAATCTGGTGTAACTTTAAAAGAAGCTAATGAAATACTTCAAAGAAGTAAAAAAGGTAATTTTCTATGTCCTATGTTTTGTCAGAAGATATATATTCATTTTAACTTAATTATTTTGATATCAACGTTAGTAGTCTTAATTTTTGCTTCAATTTTAACTTAAGACTTTTTTTCAATTAGAAAATTACATTGCTAGCATTTGTAATATCTTTTTTGATTTTATCTTGTATAAAAAATATTCAAATTTAAGCATTGTAATTTCTTTCCTGATAATGTATTTATTAAAATTACTCTTAGGTACCCAGCAGTATGAATAAATTATAATAGGGGTGCACAACCTGCGGTTTGTAATTTTGATCTTTTTTAAAATGTCCTAAAAGTCAGTGTTGCTTTTTAACATGTGAAGTATTGGTGTGTAACAATAAAATAAAGAAAGTATTGCAATGCTATTAATAATTGTTCTTATTTTTACTTTTTAAGAGCTGAAAAACAGTGCTATTTTTTGATTTTTTTTTCTTCCTCTTTTTACATACTTAATCTTTTATTTTGATACAAAGTATTGTAACTGTTTGATAGATTGAGCTTATAACATAAGCGAAAATTTTTCAAATTTCTCGGTTAGACGAAATTTGAATTAATTTTTAAGAACAAAGAAAATATTTTTACTAAGAAATTATTTTAATTTTAACAGACTGTATGTTTTTTTTTTTTTTTNCTTCAATTTTTTTATTGTGGGTACTTTTTTTTTTTTTTTTTTTTTTAATCTGTAGCGTTATTCTTTTTTTTGTCATCAAAAAAAAAGGAAGAAAAAAATGAGCAAAAGCATAATCAAAATGTTATTCCTTAAATCAAAGAGCTATTGTTTATGCATTCAAATGTTTTGTTTAAATTTTTTTTCAACCCAACGTTTGTAAATTCATTTCCTATCAAAAAATTTATCTATTATCAAATTAACAAATATAAGTTATTCGAAAATAGGTTTTTTAATTCATAATACTGTACATAATCAGATTTTTGTAAAAATAAAAAAATTCTAATTGTGTATTATTGAAAAATTAAAATGTGAACAATTTAGCTATAGAATTAAACAGTATTATGGGTAATGAAAATCTGACTTACATTTTCTGTAACTTTTCTTTTAAAAAATAGCATAATACTCATAGCTGTTGTGGTTGTGAAATAGTTTTATTTTCCCTTCAAATGTTTAAATAAACCTTTTAAAATGTTTAAATGTACCTTTAAATAAAATTGAGACTTATGTAAAAAAATAAATGTTTTTTAGATGTCATTTTGGAAAATAAAAAAATTCTTAGTTTCCTAAGCTATTATGTAATTTACATCACTGGAAAAAAACAAATTTGAATATTTTTTATTATTTCTCTTCTGCTCACTTTATGTGTATCTATGAGTCACCTTATTGTTTTACCATTTCAGGTAAATTACCTATCATTAATGACAAGGGTGAATTAATTTCTTTGATGGCCAGAACTGATCTTAAAAAAAGTAGAAGTTTTCCTCATGCATCTAAGGATGAAAATAAACAATTGTTGGTTGGTGCAGCTATTGGAACTAGGGAACATGACAAGGAAAGGTTAAGACTTCTTGTTCAAGCAGGAGTCGATGTTATAGTTCTGGTATGTTTACTCTTTTAATTAAGTTTGCCTTGTTTTACATTATATTCTACTGTTAAAGTATATATTTGTAAAAACACTTTTAAAAGAATAGTCTTTAAGAGAAATTTAGCCTGTCATTATTTTTAGCTCAACAATTTCAATTTTCACGATATTTGTGCAAACACTTAACAGTTCCCTTCTTTAATGCTGGAAATCTCTAACATTACTTTTTGAGTGATCTGTATTTTTAAGAAAATTTCATTCATCAATATTAATCTGTATGCACCGTTTCAGTTACTGATGTTTCATGACTTTTTTCATTCCCTGTCTATTGATATGAATTAGCAGCATTCAGTGCATTTTATTGTAATCCTGAACTACTCTAGTTTTATTAACTAATGATGTTCTTTTCATTATTCTTATTGTTTATATCAATATTTATTTTCTCATCTAAAATGTGTATAAACATACCTGATTATGACTATTCTTGTTATAATTAATATTGTTTTTAAAACTAGACATTAGTTTTAATTCTTTTAAAAATTTTAAAACTTTTAATTAATTATATCTTGTAAATGGATTAAAATATTTTAACCTCAACCCATTCATTACTTACATATGAGTCAGTTGTTGGGCATGTGTTTCACAAATCAAATTCGAGATTTATCTTTTTATGTAGTGCACTGCTCATATTAATCTATTATTTGTAATATTCCTGGTTCATAGAATTTCAACCATTCAGAAGATATACTTCATTTCAATTTTTATTTGTTTTAATAACAATTAATGCTTTCATGCATAATGCAGGTAAATTGTGGTGATAAAAGTGTCTCTATAACATTTTTTAATGGCTTAATGTTATTCTGCCAAATAAAGTTAGTAAATAAAAATGACATACTTTTAATTCTTCCCCGCCTACAATTACTTGTTTCATTTGTAAAGTACAAATGTCTGTCTTGTAGTTAAATTTACCCTAAAATTGTAATAGCAAAACTTTTATTGTCTTTCGTTTTATGTAAACACATTTTTTTTTCTTACTAAATTTTCAATGTGCTTTATTGGTAATGAATGTAAAAATTATTTCACAGGACTCATCTCAGGGCAACTCAATTTACCAAATTGATTTAATCAAATACATGAAAAAGAATTATCCTAATGTGGAAGTTATTGGTGGAAATGGTAATTTTTTTTCTACTTTTTCTTATTCTTTTTTATTTTATGATACTTACCAATTGTTTTATTATAAACCTTTTGTAAAATTGTAAATGTAGTTATATCTATATATTTGTCTTACATAGTGCCAAAAATATGGGTATTTCTCTACATGGGCTACAATTGAGTCATTAGTATAGGCACTGGATTTTTATTGCCATTTTAAAAATTGGAAAATTCCCATCTATATGTATATATAACAAAATAAAATATGAGTGTCTGGGCAACCACTAAAAAAATACAAAATTTTATCTTGCATTTACAAAATTCGTCTGAAAGGTAAATGGTGACTGAATGTGCTATTTCTCGAAACTTATGAATTTAAACCGAAATATTTTTTTTGCACCAAGAAACCAATTGCATTCAAATTAAGTGGATTGGAATTTTTGATTTTTTTTTTTAAACACAAATTTCCCTCAATTTTTTTCCTTCAATACAAAGCTTTTTATTTTTATTTGGGACAATGCTTTTTTTTTTTACAAAAATAATTAGAAATAGGCAGCATACAAAAAAAAAGTCTTATCTGTACTAAATGAACTCTAAAACTAATGAAGACTGCATTTTTATCTAAGTATTTTATTCATAAGAATATTCAAATTTAAGTATTTTTCTGTGACTGCAGAAATATCTGTTTCGTAGTATTTTTTCCTCCTTAAAAATAAACTAGAAACTTTACTTGGAACTGCTTGAGTAAAGGAGGCACTTCATTTGATGAAGTCATCTGTATGAACAGTATGAAATTCTTGTAATTAGGCCCTTGAAATGTTTTTGAAATTAAAAAAATATATATACAATTTTCTTGAAATAGAATATTTTTCTAATTGGTGATTTCTTCCACCCACTTCCAAATTTGAGTTAATATTGAAAATTTTAAATTTTTGTTCCTTACAAATAGATTTAAATTGACAAATTTGGTTGAACTCATTTACTATGTCTTTCTGAAAACCAGCATCCTGTACAAGGAAACTTTTAATTGTGTTGTTAGTAATCGTGAACAAAAACAAAACTTATTTAAATTTGGTATGATGAAAAAAAAGGGACACTAGCTCTACAGAAGGTTTTTATGTTAGTATTTTTTGACATATGTAAGAAAAGAAAAAAATAATTATTAAAACAAAAAATAAAAATTCTATTTTTTTCCATGATTGTTTTGTGTGCTACTCGATTGATCTTGACTAAACAAAAATCAATTTATTGTTAATAAAGACTTGTTATATCTGAACAAAGTTTATTTATAATTATTCCTAGTAAAACTATTTTTAAATTATGCTGATTGTTAAAATTTTAAATAAATGAATTTTTGAAATTAGTTATCAAAGTGGTTTTTTTTTATATTTAATATTAAGCAAAAGTGTAGGCTTAAATTAAATTTTACATAAATTTTTTCCTTTTCTGCAGATTTAATAGTTATCGTTATAGTTTTTCTGTCTTAAAATTACTTCTTATAACATATTTAAGAAAAAACGAGAATAATGTGTGTGCCAATCCTATCATTGTGCTTCCAACTTTTCATGTTATTTTAAAAACTTTAATTCTTCAATCAAACTAATGATAATTTTAAATTCAGTTGTTTCATATTAATATGTTTTGTTGCATTTCAGTGGTAACAACTGCTCAGGCTAAAAACTTAATTGATGCTGGAGTGGATGGTCTTAGAGTTGGTATGGGTAGTGGTTCCATTTGCATAACTCAGGAAGGTAAACATTCCATTTGTTAATTTTCTGTTAATAAAACATAGAATGAATTGTAAATTTTTAATATTCAATTATACTTGCTGGACAATTAATTTTTTTACTACTTATTTTTTAGTGATGGCTTGTGGACGACCACAAGCAACTGCTGTTTTTAAAGTTGCTCAGTATGCAAAGAAACATAATGTTCCCATTATTGCTGACGGAGGAATTAAATCCATTGGTCACATAATTAAAGCTTTAGCTTTGGGAGCTTCTACAGGTATAACTCATTTGTTACTAGTATGTTGTTATAAGTATATTTAGCAAACCTTAGTTTTTATTTAAATTTATTGAAGAAAGTTAAGAAAGGATTGTTTTTATCTTATTCGTAAAAAGAAATAAATAATCCTTTCTTAGATGTGAAGTTTTTGTAGTAAGATTTTCTTTGTTTGCTGTATTTTTGTGTATTAAAATTAATTTTACCTACATTTTATTATAATTTACGATGAATGAGGCATTCTATATGAATGCCTCTAACCTCTATATGAGGTTAGGCTAAAATGTGCTAAATGCATCACAACAAAGTTTTTGCTAATTGTAAATAGGTTTTTCAGGTATTTTAATATAAGTTTAGTTAGTATTTTTTTTTTTAAGTGATTAATAAAATTACAAAATGGAACATTGACTGAAAGAATTATGTATAAATTTTATATTATAGTGAGAAAAAAATATAGTAACAGCATTTATAATTTTCATCTCAATTTGAACATAAATTTTATTGTATCCAAACATAATACTATTAATGAACTTAATAAGCTGTGCTATTGATATAATTTATTTTGCATGTTTATTTTTTTTATTCTGCAATGTATATTCTGCTTCAAGGAGAATACACTATTAACTGTGCTATAGAAACTTCTGTCCGTGAGTCTTAACTCTGGTAATAAAAGTGAGAAATAATCTGTAGTTTTTCATTCGCTTCTTATTATTATTCTAAATTTAATAAATATGCTTTATTGTTCAAAATTGCTGTTGATAGTCTTTAATTAAATAGTTAAACTTTCCCTGCTGCACTCTTATTTTTCCACTAATAATGTCTAACAACCGTTTGTGTGCAAAAGCAGATAAGTACTAACCTGAATCAGTTCAAAGTTGACATTTGGATTCTATAGCTTACCGATTATGAGCCCATCTGTGTATAAGTCAAGAAAAAAATTATAGATCATACTCTTGGAAATAAAAAATGTACCTCTTTTCTTTTTAGTAATAGTTTCACAGTGGGCAAAAAAAGCATAGACTCTTCAAACTCGTAATTAGAAGATTAAAAAATAATAGTGTTCCTTTCAGATTGTCCTTTTTATGTATTTCTTTTTCAATATTTTGATAATGCATTCCATTTTCAACTATTTATTTTTTAGTCATGATGGGTTCACTTGTTGCTGGTACAACAGAATCCCCTGGAGATTACTTCTATTCTGATGGGGTTCGTCTTAAGAAATTTAGAGGAATGGGGTCATTGGATGCTATGGATTCTAAGCAGGGTCAAGGAAGTAGAGATCGTTATTTTGCTGGGTAAAGTTTATTTTAACTTCGCTAACCCTGTTTTTTTTTTGTTTTTTTTTTTCAGAAAGAATTTTTATTGATCAAAGATATTATTTTTTTATAACCTTAAAGAGCTATCAGTGAATATAATTGTTGCTTTCTTGATTTCATGTAGAATTTATATTATATTTTTGTTTATATTATCTGTATTTTTTATTAACATGTTACACCTTGTGCAAATTAATTTGAACAAACTCAATAAATTCAGAAAACTAAGAGAAAATGCTATTTTATTTAAATTTATACAAACTCAAAAGTTTTTAGTACATAATATGATCTAAACGACACTTTATTAACAGTTGGACACAATTCGGCATGGATTCCACTAATTTTTTACAGTCATTTATAATATTTGTGTCCTTGTATCACACATGAATTAACGCCATGATTAGCTGCTCCATAGTTGTACAGTCCATATTTAATAGGCGATTCTTGCATATGGCCCAGAGATTCTCAATTGGGTTGATATCCGGAGAGTTCCCTGGCCATTCCAATGTCTCAATTTGATTCTCAGACATGAACTTCTTGACAATTTTGGACGTATGGCAAGGAGCTAAATCCTGTTGAAAAATCCCTGTTCCGTCAGGGTATTGTTTCTTCAACTCTGGAACAAGTTTTTTACCCAGAATAGTAATGTACTGCTCAGAACGCATCATACCGTCAATAGGCTGCAAAGGTCCAACCCCATTGTAACCGAAACAACCCCAAAACATCTTCTTTTAAAAAACACGGAAAAAAAAGTTTGTTTCAATTAATTTGCACAAGGGTGTACTTATTTAGCTTGTAATTTTAAATTAAATGATAAAAATTTTTTTTGCTTTGTATCATTTTAGTATTCAACGAATTGAAATATAAATTAAACATGCTAAAAAATTACTCTGTGAAAGTCTAAGTTGTTAAATATTAATGTTGGAAACTGTTACTAGAAAAAGAAAAATATTGTGTATTTTGACTATTGTGGTGATTATTCCAGAAGCACATCAATGCACATTATGGCTAGATACAGGGATGTGATTCTTCCGCGGATTCGCGGATTTCCGCTTTTTTTTTCTTCTTCAGATTATTCCATTTTTCCCGCTGATATCCGCTGAAAGTTTTTTTTTTTGCACAAGTTAAAATATTTTATGAGGAATTAAATTTTCCGCGAAGCAAAAGTATTGAAGTCCACATTCCTCCCTCAAACATTGATTTTCGTATTTACCTGATTTAAAAGTAGAACGTTGAGATTCTTAATCAGGCGATTTAAATGTCGTACATTACGATTCTTATTTACGAGATTTAAAAATCCAATATCGCGATTTGTAATTACGCACTTTTAAAGCCCTATATAGCGATTCATACTCTTGCGAGCTTAAAATCCAATGTCATGATCCGTTTTTGCGCTTGTAATATCAAACATCGATTTTCCTATTAATGCGTGCTTTAAAAATTAGACAGTGGGATTCGTATTCGCGCTATTTAAGAATTACGTATCGTGATTCGTATTTACGTGATCTAAAAATTACGCATCATGATTTGTATTTTCGCATTTTTTAAATCCGATATAGAGTTTCATATTCATGTGATTTAGAAGCCTCGGGATTCATATTCTCTTAAATCATTTCGGGATTCATATTCTCTTAAATTAAAATCATGCATGTGATTTATATTTATATATTCATGCAATTTTAAAATTAATCATCAGGATTTATAATCACATGGTTTACAAGTTTAAAAATTGCACTTTTTTGCCAAATTTTTGAATATTTTGCAATATTCATTCTTGAATTTCCTCTTTTTTACTTTCCAACTACTCTCATCCCTGTAGATAGAGTAAGAATTTTGAATATTTTGTGTCAAAAGATGAATGGTGTGCTGGTATTATTTTTTGGGAATTTAATGCTAGAAAATATATTATTTTACTAATTGATGTTTATCCAGAAACACTGACTAGTTAAGTGCAATTTAATTGAGGCAATATTTCACTGTATGCAAATTGATTGTATTGAACATTAACAATCTAAATGTCATATTATAGCGTTGTCACTTTTTCTAAAAAATACTCTTGTATTTATTTGATTTTTATTTAAATTGCTTTTAAATAAGTTATTAAATATGCATAAATTAACTTATAATTTTTTGTTGTAAATTTCAGTGATCAAGATAGAGTTAGAGTTGCACAAGGAGTATCTGGTACTATCCCAGATAAAGGCTCCATTCATAGATTTGTACCTTATCTAATTACTGGAATGAAAGCTAGTTTCCAAGACATTGGAGTTAGAAACGTAACTATTTTGAGGTACATACTTTTTGTATGCTATATTATTTTAGTTTGTTTTAATTGTTTGCTTTGAAATATTTTTTACTTTAATATTCTTTCAGAATTATTGCTACAATGATTGCTTGAAGTGCAATAAGGCAAATGCTAACTTTATTTTTTGAGGTCCTGACCTTTTTTTTTCTTTCAATTTTATGTTAATTATTGTAAGTTTTATTTAATTTTAACTCAGTTTACTTTTTTTTGTGAAAGGAAAGGTGATTCAAACTGTTATATTTTAAAAATAAATTTACCACAGAAAATGTAGGTACAATTTCCTTGTCCCTTCTCTTACAATCTGCATAATGAACTGAGTAAATGATAAAAGTAAAAGCTATCACCCTGTGTAATATATTGTAATGATCAGATTTTCACATGACAAGTGCAAATCTTAATAATTAGAGGGATTGACCTCAAATATGCTGATTGATTAGTGCCTTCATAATAATATAGATTTTGCAGTTCCACACTGTAATAGTTTTTACTCTATCGTTATATTGTTTCTTGTACCAGATTTAGTTTACAACACTGTTGATTAGCTTTTCTGTGATATGTAGCCTTTAGCATCGTACAGTAGATGATGCCTCTTCTGTCAATAAACTTTAAAACAGATGTATTTTAACTTATTAAACTGCTTAGCAGAAACAATCTTTATTTGATGCAAAATGAATGTTATAATGATTAATATCATGAAAAAAATGCTTCAATAAGCTGAATTTTTTTTCAGTTTTTTTTATTTTAAATTTTTATGAGAAAAAGTATGCAAATAAATAAACCGGAATAAAATTATCCATTGAAATTAAAACTGGGCTAACTTCAAATAATTGAAATATTCAAATAATAAAGAAAACATTGTTTTTTCAATTTTCATCTGTAAACTCCGAAAATGGAGAATTCTTTTTATTAATAATTTACGTAATTATCTTTTAATAATGGATATAAATATACTTAATTTTTTACTTAATTCTTTATTTAATATACTTAATTAACTAGTGCCCTATAAATTGATTCTCCTCTGTTTGTAAACTTTTGTATATAGCAACTTTCAATTCTGTATTATTCGTAGATTTCATTAATTAATGTTTACTTGCTTTATATGTCCTTTTTTTTTTCCATTTGTTTCATGGTATTGTGTTTTTCTTGCATGTAGAAGTGAAAACTGATAATCAAATTATACTAAAATAAAGATGGTGGATAAAATAATATAAATGATAAATTTTAGGTTTCTCTAGCAAAGCCAACTGAACCAATCTCAAAAACTGACAAAACCTTTTATTTGTTACTTGCATAAAGTAATCAGTTCTATTTCTATATACATTATACTTTTTATATCCGTTGTCGAACAGCCGACCCAGTTTTTGGTTTACGACTACTAATATTCAACTCCGTAGCCTTGTAATTTTGAACCAATCCAGAATACAAGGAAATTCATGGATCAGTACCCCCAGAGGTATTGATTTGTTATGGGAACATGGAGGACTTTGCGACTCGAGAGATTTAACTTGCATCAGTCACCATTTACTGCACTGGTGACAGTGTTCGGCTGGTTGGGATCGAACCCATGAACTCTTGGGCATGGCCCTAGTGTGCTACCAACCAGGCTATCCTGGCCATCATGTACATTATACTGTAAAGTATTCAAATTGGAAGGCTTTATGTCTAACTTTGTTATAGCTGAATGTTATTGGTTAAAGGAAGTAGAAACCTAAGTGCACCGGTAAAAGAGAAACTTTTTGAAATCTATTTAGGTGAACATATTCAGATAAGAGGTTTGAATAATCAAGTTTCATCAGACTGAAATTTTTTTTGTTGTCATTGTTCAATATTAATTGTTAAAAGGTATCCTTTCAGTTTATAAAAATTGATATATTTTCTGTTTCCAGAGAACGCATGTACTTAGGGGAATTGAGGTTTGAAAAAAGGACAATTTCAGCTCAGAATGAAGGTGGTGTACATGGACTTCACTCGTAAGTGCTCTACTTTTTCTTCTATTTCATATATAAAACAAGGCAAAGATCAGATTATGTGAGAAATATTTTTAATAAATGTAGAGTTATTATTATACTTAATTGCATGCTGCATATTCTTTGCATATGTTTTTTTTAAGCATTTTTCAGATATTCTAAAATTGTTATACTTTAAAAAAATAAATGTGTATTTCTTTAGAAACTAAGAACATAGGTACTAACAACTTTTCAGGGATATAACACATAAATCCGAATTGAACCTCGTCGATTCCCTAAAATGATTTGAAAATCTCTAGTTGCTAATATCTATCTATATGTATAAAGTTGAAAATACCGAAAACAAGGAAAAAGAAATAAAGATTTTTTTTAAGGAGAAGAGAAAAAATTATTAAAAACTGTTTTGAAAAAATTGGTAAATTAAATAAGGAAAAGATATAATTCTGCCATTAGCTCATACGATTATATTTGGAAAAAAAATGGTGCTTTCTAAACTTGTATTAATATAGTCAAAGCCAAACATATAAATACTCACACTATTGTATTGATATGTAATATTTTGGCTATATTGCTCACTCTATTGTATTGATATGTTTTGCTTTGGTTTTATTAATACTATATTAGAAAGCACTTTTTTTTCCAGATATAATCGTGTGAGCTGATGGCGAGAATATAACTTTACCTTATTTTATTTTTTTTTTCATTTTTTTTTAAATTTTAATATTTTTTAAAACTTTATTTTTCTTTAAAAAATCTTCCTCTTTTTCCTTCGTTTCTCTGCGTTTTTAACTTATTTTATGAGTTCTATGTACGTGCAGCTTATGTGCAATAAATAAAACTTATTCTTTTTTTATAATTTTCTTTGTTAATCTCTCTTTTTCTTTTATCCTTTTTGCGTTTATTGCTTTATATATTATTATAAACAAATATATATATATGTAGAAACAACAATTTACAAAAAAGTTATCTATAAGTGTTATTTACATGTAAGTGTTTTTAAAGTATACAATTTAAAAACATTCTGATAAAAAAAAATTTAATGGAATAATTTCTTTACTGGAAGTTCACTTATAAGGAATCCACCCGAATTATAATTTTAATTTTAGGTCATTGATTCTATAGAAGAAAAAGTTAAGTTTTTTTATTAGTTAATTATTGCTGTAAACCGGTTCAAATTATGACCACAAGTCAAATATAATGAGGTATTTCTAAAATCAAAACATATAATTAGATTTATTAAAATTACGAAAGGGTAAATTACATCTGTGTCATAATATTCTAACAAAAGAGCTTTAATTATAACTCCCCTAAAAAATCTACTTAATTTAAATGATTTGCATTTCTTTTAGTGTTAAACTTATTCTTCGTGACTTTTCATATTAGTTAAGGTTAATTATCTTCTTATATTTAAGTATAAGAAAGCTTTGCATAGATTTTTTTTGGTGAGAAATATTTAAAATTTTATTTTTGAATTTACATAATAAACAAATGATTGTTTAATAATGTATCTGAAAACTGCTGTTTTATATCTCTAATTTTATTTAACTGCCTATTAACATGACACAATTCTAAGAAGACTCCCTTTGCGTACATTCCTTCCTTCCTATCTTATTACTAAAAAAATATTAATTTTGGAGGTAATTTTGTGTTATCCTCCTAACCTTTTAAAAAATAAGTCTGATATAAATTCATTTTTCTCTGATAATTTTAGTTATGAAAAACTTTAAACTAATTTTTATTAAAAAATGTGTAAAATTGTTTTTTTTTTTAATTTTTGAGTTTTGCTAAATTTTTGTATTCATTTTTCTCTTTTAATTTTAATTATGTGTTCAATTTTTCTTTCAGATTTGAGAAGAAATTATTTTAATGTGCATTTGCTGTGAAATCATACGAATCATTAAAGTGCTAAAATCATTTCTTTAAAGATAAAGCAACTACATATCACCTTGGAAGTTGCACTTGTTGTTCATTTCAATTTAGACTAATTTGTGTACAATTTTGTCACAAAAATCAATGTATTTGTTTTTTTTTTTATATATATATCAATGTGTCACAATTTGACCTAGATAATAATTTATAGAGTTATTACGACATATCTTGTATATGATGAATTGTTTTTATTTTAAATATTTGTTTGTTTTTTTATAATTATGAGCTTTACCTAAAGCTGTTGCTGTTCTCAGTACAGACTTAAAGAAATTCCAACTTTTTATAACTATAAAATAAATTTTATTTTCTGAAAAGTATATAAATATATAATAAAGTGTCAATGACTGTATTTAAAGAAGAAAAAAGCTGATACTTACACTGACTTCTCTTGTTTTCCAATAAAGAGGAAATTACAGCTGTAGAATTAAAAATAAACATTTTAAGATACGTAGACTGTAATTTTCATGAGCTTATTTTGTGATATTTATCAGTTTTTTTCCTTAAGTGTATTAACCAACTTAGGTTTGACTTTTCCATGCATTTTGTCACCTTGTGAAAAATTTAAAACCAGAATATTTGTAAATTATACTAATTTGCACTTTGTGATAAATAAAATCAATGTTTTTGTAAAATGGAGGCTTTTATTTTTATCCTTACTTTATTTTATTTGTTGGTTAGTTTAAAGCTAAAGAAAAATGGTTTGACTTTGGACAGTTGACCTTGCGAAGCTAAACACAGGTGGCACTAGGGGTTAAAATTGGCCGTAAGACTTCCGGATTGCTACTTATGAATGATTTTTACGTCTAGGCTTGATTATTAAACTTGTAGTGTTTGCAATATTACGCACTCTTTCAATTTTACTTTCAACGAACCCAATAACAAATTAATTCGGAAGACATTTAATCTTTACCTATTTTATAATGATTAGATTCTTCCAAACAGCCTTTTAAAATTAAGTTAAATATAACTTATATTTTAAATCCTTTCACATTACAGAAATGGGTAAATAAATGTTAAAGAATCAAATAAAACAGCAATTTCACTCAATTCAATAACAAAAGATTTTTTTTACCTTCTTTATAATGATTAGATTCTTCCAAACATCCATTAAAAATTGTAAGTTATAACTTATATTTTTAATTCCTTAAACATTTCATCCTCGAATAAGAAAGGACGAGTTTGTGTATTTCAATCTTATAACTTCAGAACCTGGGCCCTGATTTTAGACGATGGCCTTTAATAGCAAATTCAGCATGTAATTTCTTTCAGAAATTTTGATTGGTATCACTCGAGCAAGATGAGGGAAAAACGATTTTTCTCTTAGCGCAGCTAGAGGTCTAGATAACGTAAAATGCACAGCTTTATTCATTGTTGCAAATTACACTGTTTTTTTCAACAGTGAAATTTGTCGTCTCCTGTTGAATCAAAAATGAGCTTTATTGAACATTCTTAAATAATTATTTATTTTTGATTTATTAAGTCAAATGAAATAAAAGTAGATGTCATATGAGGACGACTTCACTGAATTAGTAATACGAATTTTAAAACTGTTTGAAAACACGTTTTTAATTTGTTTTTAGTAAGTTTTAAATTGCTGCAAATACAATGCCTGCTTTTTAATGCTTAAACGGAATATCTACTTCTCCCTAGAAATAAGAGTATTTTCTTTGCTTTTGCTGCACTATGAGTATAAATATACATTAAGATACAGTAAAATAAATTAATAACTGTCAATTAAAAATCTTAATTATAATAAGTGTCATGATTTTAATGAGCATCGGCTCCTATGTCAAATGAATTGACCTAAAATTGGATGTTTTGGCTTTTTTTTTTAAATATCTATACGAATACAAAGGTAATACCTATACGAATATTAGTCTTTGGTTCTGTTTGTGTCCACAAACATTCTGCAATTGACAAAAGTGTTAATATTTAAGTTGTACATTTCACATAAAATGAGTTCCATTATGATGTATTTTGTTTCAAATATGCTTACTTAACCTATGGTTAAAGTTGACCTAAATTGTCAACTTTGTCAAAATTAATGCTGAAGATATGTTTTGATAACATTCTTATTTGAATAAAGGCCACTTCCTTGATGTTTTTTTGACGACCGTTTTTTTTTTCTAATAAGTTATGCATATTCTCTGTCAAGGTCAAAGGTTATAGGCATGACAAACATTCTTGTTTTGTGTCTGCTCAGGGGGGGGAGGGGTAATTTCCTTACAAAACAATATAGCAATCTCAATTCGCTGACCAAGCTCAAAATGACTTTTGAAGAGTTGCAGGCTTTAAAAAAAAATCAGGAAAATTGTTTTACTTAGCAAAGTTAAAATTCACAAAACTAAATTTGGCCATACTCTAAATATCACACGTGTTGTTTACTATTTGTTTCTTTGATTGAATAAATCCACGTTAAAAAAAAACTTATGCATTAAAAAGTTAACATTTTCAGGGAGATTTTTTGAATTATGTTAGTAAAAAACTTCCACTGTTACATATAGTACTAAATATGCAGTCAATTCTTTTTCAGTTTATATTGATATGTAATAATGGCTTTTTGATTCTGTATTAGAATGTTTTTTAAAAAAAACGCACAACTTTTGATCTCGTGATTGGGTCTTTAAGTTCTAGGATTGTATTCTTGATAATTCAAAAGGATGACTTCAAATATGCTAATTAATTGGGGTTATATGAAATTTTAAGTTACGAAATCAGACACAAAACATATTTTCTCTGAATAAACATATCCTTTGTCCAACGGATTCGGATTTCTGAAGCCCAAAATATAAAGAGTATCCACCCGCAATCTTATTTTTTTATATTTAAGTGTAATCTACCTTGGTTTCTCTATAATTTACGCGTATTGTAACAACTATTGAAATTTCTTTTGCCCTCAAAGAGATAGCAAGTTTTCAGGATGTAAAAAGATGCCCATTTGGATATTTCTTTTCAACAAAGGAACATAACGGCATTTTCACCAAGCTACTTCTATCGTCTTTTTTTAGATTTATACAACTGTTCAAATATTATTTGATCTTAAGCTCCTCAGCCAGCCAGAGACTTAATCCAAATTTCATAGTTTTTTTCTCCCATGTACTGGATAAATTCTTAACGTACATAATTTTTAACTGCTAGAACTGTTTATTGAATTTTATTAGTTTCGCCCTATATAAAATACAAAGAATTTATCACAAAAATTTACCCTTTTTCAGATGATTAGACAAGTAATGTCTTTTCTAAGCCGTTTGGGAACTCGTATGTTGAAACGATCTGAGCAATTGCGTAAACAAATTACGAGGGATTGGAGAGAAGCGGCGAGCTGTAGTAGGATTTTTTTTCTTGATGAAAAAAAAAACTTGTTAAGTGTTTATCTAGTTATGCGCGTCCTCAAATAAAATAAAGATAAGCAATGAAGGGGAAACAGTGTGCTAAATCCAACTAATACACTCAAACCTTTACGTTCATTTGTGGTCAAAATGACCACTGTAAATGGACACTCTAACTAAATCGTCATTTTATGCACTCATTTGATATTCAAATAAAATTTAATGCTTTTGAAGATCTCCAAAAATTAGGAATTTTCACAAAAGTCAAGTAAGATGGTATAATTTTACAGAATTTTGAGTTTATATAGAAAAACACACACACGCAAAAGTCTCTGTTATTAAGTTAGGTTTGGCTTTACAAAAACAGATGGTTTGAAAATCATCCTCAAGAAGCTCGATACAACGCTCCCCAATCATCCAAACGGATGTTATAACGTAAGATGTGTGTGCAAACATATGGCAAATATTTTTATATAACTAATAAGTACTGAACTCATTTTGACAAATCATGCAGTACTCGAAAAAGAATTAAGATGCTGCAAGAATGATTTCTAAAAACCACATGATTTTTTTAATTAACTGAAATGGTAATTTTTACATAAAAACACCATTTGGATTATAAGAGAAAAAGAGGACATATTAAGAGACGCGTACAAAATCCTGTGAATACTGCTAGTTTCAACTGGATAATAAATTGCACAAGAAAATGAGGACTTTAGAAAAAGGAGAAAATAGAATTTTCAAACAAAATAAACATGATTGATAATTTTGTTGTTTTCCTTGAAAAAAATTCTCAGATTGTGAATTTATCCTTTAAATGATTGCATAAAAGGTTGCTTGCAGTTGCCGAAAATCAGTTATAAAATGCTCTACAATTTGTGCTGAAAATTGTTAAAAACATTCATGCATAGATGCTTTTGCTGAGGATGATACAAATGTTAGTGAAGATGATGGTTATGATAATTTAGACATCTTGGACGAGTGATGAAGAAAATACAATCAAGGATGATGAGAGACGTGACTGCTCAGGGGATAAAGCGTTCGCTTTCCAATTAGATGAACTGGGTTCGAATTCCACCTCCGGCTAGCACCGATCACAGCGCTGACGTAAAATTTTCTCAGTGGTAGACGGATCATGGGTTAGAACCCCCTTGACGTCAGGCTAACCGTAGGATGTTTTCGTGGTTTCTTCTCTCTATGTAACGCAAATGTGGGTTAGTTCCATCTAAAGCTTCTCCACGAAGGCAAATTTCTCTCAATACTTAATCCAGGAGTTTCCTTTTCTTCTGGGTTGGGTTCAAAATTACAAGGCTATGGAGTTGAACATTAGCAGTCGTAAAACCGAAAAATTGGGTCGGCTGTTCAACTACTGTTATAAAATAAAATATAAGAAATCAAGGATGATGGAGGATTGTATTTAGAAGAAAATAAATGTTTTTTTTCACAATGTTAAAAGCCAATTAAACGATTGAAATAGAATTTTTTTTTACTGTACTCAATAATATTCTTTACTTTTTGAAGCACCTTTTCCCCCGTAAAAATTAAATTTATTTTGATGTTTTTGGCTTTAATCAATCTTTTTTTCTCTAAAATTTTTAACCCTTCGCACTCGAAGACTCCTATCTGGATCCGTTCTTAAATTATCTACCACTCTGAAAATTAAATTTTTACACTTTAATGTTTAGTAACCACTTTATTTAATGGTCTCAAGGTCTTATATGATAATTGTGCAGGCAGTAGGATTTGTCTCGCTAACTCCTAGTGGTTAGGTCCGTTTTATAACAGTAAAAAGCGCCTTGAGTGCAAACAGTTAAAATGGAAGCAAATTTAGCGATTTCACATTTGAATTAAACTGATATTGTTACGTTATTTAAATAATTCAGTAATCTGTATAAAAGAACTTATTAGTACCGTGTGACGCTTTTAAGTGCTGACAAAATTTTGATTGTATATAGTAAATTCAGTTATTCACTTTTCACTACGAATTTAAATATTGTGTAGAACGTTGTGTTAGCTGCAATGCAATTTGGACAACTTTTACAGTTTCTAATGCCACAAAATTGTCCAATGTTTAACTTGTTGGCGTAATCTGCTATGTAATTCTATAATATAATTTCCAGAAATTTTCATAAATCCGCAAAAACAACTTTTTAGTTCAAGTATTTCGATCAATGAGTACCTATAGTGAGGGGGGGGGGAATAAAGATTGGGGTCTAACTTATTAGTAAGAAAAAGGATGACAAAAACATTAAAGAAGTAGTCGTTATTCACACAATAGAGTTACCAAAATACTTTTTTACTTCATTTCAACATTAATTCTGCCAAAATATCGAATTTGTTTAAATAGTTGATGTTTGCCAAATTTTTGCACACCCATCTCACTTTTAAAATGCGTGTTTGGATGATTGGGGTCGTTATCTCGTGCGTTCCCTTCATTAATGTAACACAACCCAACAATCTATATTATATAAAACGCTAATACGTATGTATCAATAAAACCGATCATATTTCTTTTCTCGCGTTGGCAACAGTTTTCATTTTTAATTGATAGGATTCGGCACGCAAGAGCACGTAGTGAGCATCATATGTCTAATCGGGTGAATTCTCACCGAATTATCAAAAAAATTCTCACAAAATTATCTTCATCGAAGTTCCTTTACATCCGGCGTTCAGTACTATTTCATATTGTTTTACAACACATGGTTTTAGCCCTCTGGTGGGAAAGACTTTAAAACAAAACTTACAACAGTTACAACAACTGAAATTAAGAATAGTGTGATTAAGAAAAATATGCGAACTTTTTTCGATTTTAAATTAATATTGAAATGCTTAAGTTTAGAATTTTCTACAGTGAAAAGTTTTCGGAACTTCAGTGTTCAAAAAAGTATACAAAAGCTAGACGTTAAGAACGTATCCAATGAGCGAGCAAAGCGAGCATCGGATTGCGAAGCAATCGGAAATGAACTGCGAAAGCAGTTTCGTGGTTGGCGAGCAGGAAGCGAAGCCTCCTAGTTAGATTAGTAATTAAAATTAAATGTAATTTTCTTCGAATATTAATATGTTTCTAAAATAATTCGTTTACCAGTTAGAATAGTTTGACCGGTATGTGCGAAAAACTAATTTTCTCAAAAGATAATATCAGTGATGTTTGCGGAGTTAACAACCATGTTTAATCAAAAAACGAGTTTCACTTAAGAGTCCAATGAACATTCATTAATAAATGTTGATCCTTGATTCATTATGTCTGTTAAAGCGCAATTAGAATCAACTCGATTAACAGGAATTAGTATTTTATATGTTATTTATACCACGTGTTTGGTTTTATTCATAGTGAAGTTTTTGAAACGTGCTTCAATAAACACAATAATGTAGCATCAATAATAATAGAAATAAAAATCTATATATATATTTCTCTTACACGGCGACAAAAAAAGCCTCATCACAACTCCCCGAATGGCAACGCTAGAAAATCGACCAATNTTATAATTAAATAGTTTAAATTATAATGTAACAACAATATGATAATTGCTGCGGTATAAAATTGAATATACTGCAAGCAGGGGGACATAATATTTTCAGATAAAAATTACATTGCTTTGTTTTAAATATTTAATTAGTGGAATATTTCACAAAAAATATAAATAAAGTGATCTGAAATGTTTTACTCATTATATACAGATGATAAGTTGTTTTTTCTTATGTTTAAATAATGAAAATCATAATTTTAAATTTTTTTTCATTATTTCAATAAAATTATAAAAAAAATATTTCAAATTTTTAAAAGTGGCTAAAGTTTCATTTTTGATTTAAAGGGAAAGAGTATTAAATATAGTCAAAACTAACTTGTATCCAAAGTATCGTAAAATTTTCGAAATTTTATAATATTTTTAGTAAAATATACTAGCATTCAATTTTTTGCAAATGATTTATATAAAAAAACGGCTAACAATATACTTAAATTCTAACGGAACACTTACATTTTTAAATAAATAATTATTTACTGCAATATTGGCAAAAAACATTTAAATAATTGGATTATAATTTTTAGAAAGTTTTGCTTTGTTAACAAACTAAAAAAAAATTTAATTTCTTTGTTTGCTAATTTACTTATTTGTAAATTTAATTTGTTTTTCTTAATAAATTAATGATTTCATTGTTTTATTAAAATTAGTGCTTATTAGAGACAAAAGAATATTTCCAAAACTAATAGATTATAATAAAATTTGGCTTGTTTTTAGCTTTATGGAAACACCGAAAAGCTCCAAAATTTTTACCGAAATGCTTTGGAAATGATTTTGATAAAATTAACAATTAAATATTGCTTTATAAATGATAAATTGTTAAATTTGATAAAATTTGGTAATTTTATCATGATACCTTGGCAGAGCATAGCATTAAAACCATTTATTCTGTAAAACTTACTTCTCAGTTTCGTATTTTTTACTAAATGCTTGATAATAAGAAAAATTATCAAAATGACCGGAAAAATGAACAAATGAATAGTTTAAATGCTGTATATTTTGACCTTGATTACCAAAACTATATAATTTTTTTTATACTAGGAATATCCTTACAGTACGGTAATTTTACCAGATTTTTTTCTCTCCTTGTACTTAGGCAATGCACTTCAATAACTGTGAAGTTTTTTTTTCTGAAAAATTACATTTTAAAACACTATTTTATTTCTTACTTTTAATTCAAAATCCCATTTAAATCAGTTGTGAGGCATTACTGAGTATTTGAAATGAAAAGGTTCATTATTTAAATCAGCAATTATTATTTAAATTTAAATTTTTCATGACAATATTCACATGTGTTCTTTTAAATCATTTACTCATTCATTTGAAAATATGACTTAAAATTTATAAACAAAGTAAACAGATTTTATAAATGTTCAAAAATAATCCATAAGTTAGTAATAATTTCATTATTATTATTAATTTCCTTATTATTAGTAATTTCATTATTATTATTAATTTCCTTATTATTATTATTAATTTCCTTATTATTATTATGATTTCCTTATTATTATATTATTATTATTTTAGTCTATAAATTATAACCATAATTAACTTAACATTGTCCTTATTTCCATGAATTTAAAATGTTTCTTTAAAATATTTAGTTCATTGAGAATTCGAATTTTCTATTAAGAGGGTGAAATTCTATTTTTAAATGTTAAACATTCATTCAGGAATACCAACACACATCGAAGACAGCTGAGATTTACCTTTCCTGGAAATGGGATTCTCCTGTATGCGCAGATCATTTTGTGCACAAACCGATATGGAGACTTCATCGGATGCTCCGGAATTTGGAGGAAGGAATCGCAAAACGGAATCCGGAAATAAAATGTTTTATGAAAGAGTTTCGATTTTTGTAAAGATATTTTAGACCACTTTATTTTTACAAGCTGAAAACATTACACGCTATTTGTAATATGATTTTTGAGCTGTCAAATTATAACAGCGCTTTCTTTCTATTTGTAAATTGATGATTGAAGTTAATGTAAAAATTGAGTGGGAATTGAGTTTGAAACATATTTCATGAAATGATTTGATTAAAGGATCGAATATTGGATATCAGGTATGTGAAACATAATTACAATAGCTTATTGGCAAGGGCAAAGAAAAAAAATAAATTGTTATTAATTAATTTTGTAATTGATATTTTGATTTAATGTGGTTGGAATAAGAAATTAAATTTAACTGTCAGATAATTAATTTTTTTCATCAGAAAAATATCATTTACTCTGAATATCGATTATTTAAAAAAGAATAATTGAAAAGCATGAATGTGTCATTTTAAAGGAAATTAAAAAAAAAATTCATTAGAATAATTTATTCATTTTTTATTAATGACTTTTTAACGGCATTTTTATTCATTAGAATAAAAAATATACTTATTTCTTTTTATTCATTAAAATAAAAAAATCCTTAAAACAACACAAATTAATAAGTATATTACAGTGAATAACAATTCTTATTAAAAAATGTAATGAAAAGCGTTTTAAAAAGCAAAATTATCATCATCAACATGGTTACGAAAGTGCAATTTTTATTTAAGAAATAAATATTTTATTAAGTAATACATTCTTATATTACTGATTATAAAATTCAATTTTAACTGTTTATTATTATTTTTTTACAGAACAGAATACTTTTTATGATATTTTATTGAAAATGAATGAAACTTATTTTTCTTTAAATTCATATTTTTTTATTGGTATTATATTTACTAGCATAATTTTTTCTTTTTATGATAAGGTGAAGTTATATAATTTCCCAAGTAACAGAAAAATGTATAAGATGTTGCTAACTCCACAATAATTATTTCTTATAAATGAATGAAAAAGTATTGAATTTGAAATTAAATGTGTCAAAAAATTAATTAAAAATGAGCACTTTTACAAAATTTTATTTTATGACATAAGCTTTAAACAGCTTTTTAGTGTTAATAATAGTTTAATTTTTATTAGATTAATTTACATAAATGGTATTTTTTAGATACATATTTTAATATTAATAATTTTAATATTAGTAACATAAATTGTTGCATCAAAAATGTCTGAAATATAACTTTGAAATACCGTGATCACCTTTTAAATAAGGTAACAGTAATTGCTAGCGGATATATATAAAAAAAAATAATGTCAATTTTCACCTGCAATTATAATTAGAATTATGTATTTTATAATTTTATTTCAAACACCTCCTGTTCTACCATCTTTTCATCCTAAGCAGACGATATTCAGAAGCGAAATAATGCATATTGAAAACATGACGCCTCTTAGATCGTTTTATAAATTTAGTTATATATAACATTATTTTAAAGCTATACATTTTTTCCATCTAATTATCATAACACTTTTGTATTGATACTTATTTATTTATGAAATAAAGACTCTTCTTCAATTTAAGTTCTCAAAGTTGTTAGCAAAAGTTTTAACAGTACCGTTTTAAAATATCTGCCAATTAGTCTTTGATTTTATTTAATTATTCATAATGTTTTTCAATTTACCATGCTATGTATCTATTGGTTTCCCATCATTTATAGTAAGCCATTTTACCTTCGTAATCCTAGACTTCTTACTTTATTTTATTATATCGCTATTATATATTAAATCATTTTCGAAACTTGAAATAAATAATGTTTTTTAATCAGAAATAAATAATGTCGCTCATATAAAACAAATATAGCATTTATTTTTCCACAAGGGGACATATTTAAAACACACTTTAATCACCTGAAATGCTAAAAAACATTTTTACTAGTTTTTTTGTACTTGGGCAACTAGAACAACTCATTATATTATTTTAATATGAACTTCTTTTCTTAACATTAACGATTGTAACTGGTTACCATTATTTCACAATAATCACAAGCTAGTGGTAAATGCATAATTAAATAGCATAATCAGGGGTGCTGGGATGGGAGGTCACGGGAGGTCACTGTGCCCTCCCAAATATTTTCACAATTCGACAAATTTTGTCTGGCCATTCGACATATTTTCAAAGTATCATTTTCCCTCTCTTCCATTTAGATATTACAACTGAAATTATTGAAAATTACACCTTTATTTAACTTTAATAAATAGCAGTGAAAAAATATTAGCACACGTATCATTTCAAGTATCCATTTAACCATTCTACATTGTTTTGACACAATGATGCATTTATCAAGTATTATCCTTCAATTAAAAAAAATGGAATTATTTAAGCGAGGGGGCTCGATTTATTTTATTTCTATTCGGTATTCGACAAGATTTGCCGATCACCAAAGAAATAAAAGACAGTTGACTCTTTTTTTTAAAATTTCACATTAGTTTCGAAATATTTAAATTTTAGAAATTTTGGTATTTCATATACATTTCTGAAAGGTTGTATGCAATGAGATTTACCGATCTTAAAGTATTTGTTATTTGGTTGAGGGGATAATGAAATATTGCATCTTCAAGCTAGCTTCGAACTAATTTGTTTCTTTTTCATATTTATTTATCAAATAATTCATTAATTGTTTTATTTATTGACTAGAATAGTTATACATAAAATCTTTGTATCAGAAATACATAGGTGGAAAAAACTGACATGTTGTGAAATCATTATCACCAAAATAATTTTTTTTTTTATTGTAGCAAATAAATTTCATGCTTATAATAAATTACATATTACTAATAATTCCGTTTGAGGAGATTATTTGGCTGACAATTTAATGATCTTTTAAAATTTTTTGGTTCAAAGGAAAACATATACTAAAAAAAACATTTATAAATCATTTTTTAAAAATAAATTATCTTGCACTCTTCACTCTATGTAGTACTACAGGTGTCGCTAAAATCGATGATGATGCAAATATGATACGAAGTGGGTTAAAAATATTCTGTGTAGCCTAATGTTTAAAATTTACTGTTTTGGTAATAGGCATTGCATGTTTTCGAATCATTACTAATAGCTGCTTTTGAAGGGGTCATTCAGCGAACTTTTTTAAAGCTTTTTATAATTTTTTTGTTTAAAGGGAATCTTTGATACTCATATCAAATCAAAAAATAGTTGTCAAAATTTTTAAAAACATATACGTAAGTTGAAAAATATTTATAGAAAATTTTTTTTTTGTCCTTGTTACTCTATATAGTTAGCACAGGTGTCGCTAAATTAGATGATGATGCAATAATGACTTGAAGTGGGTTAAAAATTCTGGGTAGTCTACTATTTTCTGTTTTGGTTAAGGCATTGCTCTCCCTTGTTTACTAATTATTAATAATAGCTGCGTTTAAGGGCGTGATTTGGTGGGCACTTTAATAATTTTTTATAATTATTTGATTCTGAAAAGAACTTTGATATTACAATCACGTCAAAGGATAGGTGTCAAAATTTCTAAAAACATATGAATATACTAAAAAAAATTTAAAAATCATTTTTATAAAAAGTTTTATTTTGTACTCTATAGTAAGAGCAGATGTCACTAAAATCAATGATAATGCAAATATGATACGAGGAAGATCAAAAAATTCCGTGTAGCATACATTTAATATATAGAATTTTTTTCCGGGTATATCCTTTACCTTCTTTTGTTTTCTAATTGTCATTAATAACTGCGTTTGAGGGGGCCATTTGGTTGACACTTTAATGATTATTCATAATTTTTTGGTTCAAAAAAGAACTTTATATCAAGTCATAGGATAAGTGTCAAAATTTCTAAAAACATGTTGGTATGCTAAAAAGCATTTAAAAGCTTTTTTTAAGTTTTTTTCCATCTTCTATACAGTAAGCAAAGGTGTCACTAAAATAGAAGATGAAACAAATATGATAAGAGGTGGATTAAATAATACCATATTGGACGATTTGCAACGTAATGAATAGACGCAGAATTGGAATTTGAAGTGTTGATAGGGCAATTTTTATTTATGAACTATGAACTTAAAAAAAGTTTTCTTACTGCATCTTCACTGAGTATATACATAAAAAGTATGATCTGAACAAAAAAAAAAAAGAAGAAAGAAAAACAACAGAAATATAGAACAAGGTTTGCCACAAAATTTCAAAAAAATTATAGCCACATTTACTGGAAGTAATTCATATCAGTAAGTCTGGTTGTAAATTAAGAATATTTTCATATTTATCTGATTAAATTCTCTATTAATTTTACAATTCTTATCAATGGAATCTGTATTTGTTTGTTGCATCTTTTTCTAACAAGATAATAAAAATAAGGTGAACTGTTTTATTGTGGTGGAACGTGACATAACCTATTGTACTATTAAGTAACCATAGTAAAAGATTAGATTTTACGCGAATACAATTTTCATCTAATTTTTAACTATTTTGTAGAAATAATTTTACAATTTTCTTATTAATTATTAATTACTTATTAATTGTTTTTTTTATTAATTACCTAATCCACTTAAAATTTTGGTGAAAGATACTAGCAAAATATAATTGCAAAATTTAAATAATATATATCTTAAAGCTATTGCAAAACCTAAAAAAAGATCTGCAAATAAATAATAATTAATATCAATAAAAAAATAATTTAAAATATAAATGAAACATGAAAATTAGTCTAATTGATATAATTATTCATGAATATATTGAATTTTTTATATTAGTCGTCATTAAGTTTGTTTTATATTAGTCGCAACTTTAATAAATCTTTAGTTTATTATAATTTGGTTTAACTTTATGACTGAATAATATAAATTAATTATGTATATTTTTTAGTTTGTTTTTGTGTTGGTTTGGTATTTATAATTAAAATAAGATTTTTTAATATATTTTTTAATGTAATTTTTTAATGCATTTTTATTAATCTCGGGGTTTTACAATTGTAATTTATATTTTCTATTTATTTATCCAACTTATATATGATTCACTTTTTTTTAAAAAAATAGAAAATCTTAACATATTGCATTTTTATATTATATATATTTTTTTTAGTGTTTTTCTTCTTCTATTCTCATAAACGTTCGTCAGTTGATTAAATACAATTTAATTTCAATTAAATACAGATTATTTGCATAACATTTTTATTAATATTTTTTTTTAAGATGAGTTAGTTGCTGAAAAATTTTATTTTATGCTTTTACTTTTTGTTATCTTGCAGCTTAGTTTCATACTTAAGGATAGTTTGATAATTGATAAAAGCATTATTTTTTTTAAGTTTTTTTTATTCTATTTGACTTAATTTAATAAACATGGATTAATTTTAACTAAATATAGAATTTTTATACATTTAATTTCTAGTATTTTTTTTAATGTAGTTTGATAATTAGTGTTAAAAATTTGTTTTTTTAATTATATTTTTTTAATTAGTATCGCTCAATTAAGTTTTGTAATCCTATCAACGATTGTCTTTCCATTAAATAATTTTTTAATCGATGCTGATATATTGAGTTTTAATTGTTTATTGCGTTTATGTTCTCGAAAATGTTTTTACGTTCAATTATACACAGGTTATTTACATAATTTCATTATTATTATTATTAGTGTAACCATCTCGCACTTGAAAAAAAAAATCTCGTTTTCTTATATTGCGCAGTAAATTTCCTTAGCCTTAATTTCTCTTTCAGTCATTTTTATGGTTCTGACAATTTATTGTTTCTGATTCGAGATGACATTATTTAAATTTCCTGATTTTTATTAAATGTAAATTATTCTTTAATGGTTTCTTATAGTTGCGATTTAATTTATAATTTTAAATTACATTTTTATTGAATATAAATTTTGCTGAATTTTTTTAAATATCCAAGAATTTTAAGTAATTTTACCTAGAAAAGTCTGGAAAAAAATTTCTTTTAAGTATGAACCCTGTCCGAATTTCTTTGTGCCGCTTCACATAGGTTATTATATTTTTGAAATAACCCCTAGGAACCAAATAGCTTGGGCCTTCATTGAACCAATATTCACGAATATTGCCCTATAAGGGTTCAAAGTGCCGTTTTTTCCCCCGATAGTGGTCCCATATAGAATTGTCAGATTCACCCGGCATTTTATATTCATTTATTAGCCTATATAGGCTCTATATTGACCCCATAAAGGTCGATATTGGCCCTATATAGAACCAATATTGAAAAATCTGGACATTTTAATATTGGTCCCTCGGTGCATGTTCATATAGGACTGATATTGAGTTGATTTTGAGCCAAACTGAGTCAAGATAAAATTGTTGTTAGGGAAGCGATGAAAAAAAATATCTTAAGTTTAAAGATTTTTATATGCCTTAAAAAGACTGTTACTTTTAAACACACACTCTCAAATTCAACAAAAAAAATTATCTTATACATATTTTTGAATTAAACTGAAAATTAATAATTACTTTACAAATTTAAAAACTTTTTTATAGAAATGTTGCTCATCTTCACCTTTGTCGGCTCTCTCCTGCTAGTCCAGTCAACAACTATAAATGATACTGATACTTATGACTCTTTAAACTTAAGCACTTCTGCTCCATTCGAATTTACAAAGCCAAATTTTTACCTTGAAATCAACGCAACAATTTCTTCAACTCAGGAATCTAATTACCTAAATAACACTCAACAAGAATCAACTTCTTGGACAAGCAATTCCTTAACATTTAAACCCAAAGAAATCATAGTTGTCACCCCAACAAATGCCACTATCACTGAGGCCCAATTAGTGATAAACAATTCAATCAACATTAGTGATTTGAAACCATATGCAATAGAAAAAGATGTGTCAGTATTACCAACGCTGCTGTATGTGAATCAGTCAGAAATCTTATCAATACCTCAGGAAGATGAATCAGTTCCATTAGAGATTAGCAGCACCGATGGAACTCTTCAGACGAGTCAACCGACGTCACAGGCTGTATTAGCTGCCGTAAATGTGACAGTTGTTGAAGAATCAGTTGAGCAAAATGCTATTGTTACAACTGAACTTGGTGATACCAGTACAGATAAGAATTTGGACATTGTTGTAGGACGCAAATGTACAAGACTTTTTCAAGATTCGTTTCTCTGGAATGAAACTGATGGAGGCATGCTAGCTCTCAAATCTTGCCCAACTGGTTACCAGGGAAACATGTATCGTCCTTGTTTCACAAATGGAAAGTGGGGAAAGGTTGATTTCAGCGAATGCAGATTGGAACACTTAGGACGAATGCGACACATGGTATGTGGAGTTATTTTTATTATTTTTGCAATTATATTTATAAAATTTAACAATTTTTTATTATTTACCACTCATTGTGAGTTCAAAACTTATGTTGAGAATCTATTTTTAATCTTAGAAATCCTTTTTTTCTAGCATCAGAACAGCTACATATGTGTTTTTAAATTTAACCTCTTGGGGACTGCTGGTACAACAGTTGTCAGACAAGCGAAATGTCTCGGTTCCTATTTTGTAGTTATAAATTAGTTCCATCTATATTTTTTTTTTAAAAATAGATTCCACTGCAACTAAGTTGACCATGTTGCAACCATGTTGAAGGCAAGACAAATGTCTTCAAACCAAAAATTTCTGTTTACATCTCGTTTATCGAATATTTTAGAAAAAATATGACTTATGGTAAAATTGTTGTACCGGTCATCCCCAAAAAGTCAATGTGTGCTTATCAAATTCAACTTTAAATTTACTTTAACTTTGCTCATTATGGCTGTTTATTAATCTCAGCTTAAAGTTTAATCTGGTATTGTTCATTACGGGTGCTTATAACGTTAAGCTAAAATATTGTCTTTATTTAACACATTATGGTTCTTTATTATGCTCAGTAAAAGTTTACTTTTACTTTGCTCATTATGATTGCTTATTACGTTCCGTTAAACATTTTTTTTTTTTTGCTTTGCTTATTACAGTTTTTGATATAATTCGTTCCTTGTTGGTAGTAGAGTTAATACCATTTTATTGCATAGACTCAAAATCTCCTACGCATATTACATACAACTGACAAAATAAACTTCTTCCAAAGCCATATCTAAACGAAAATTTCCAGGTCTCGCTAGGTTTTGCTAGACTTTTACCTGCATTTCATTTATTTCAAAATACTCGAATTGCTTAAGAACTGTTTTGGTCTTAATACTATAATACTTTTGTGTCTAATTTAATTTGAGAAAACCATAGATAATGGTAGATTTCAATTGTAAAATTTTGGAAAATTATACTCATGGAAATATGCAGTTTAAGCAGGTCGTATGTTAATAGGTCTTACAATTGATGAACCAGAAAGTGTAGACTTACTTTGCAATTTTGCTCACATTTCTTAAGAAAAGGAATTTGACTTCTATGTTGCGAATCAATCATATATATTTCTTAAACAACGCATTTTGTCTTCAGCATAAAAATATTTTTCCAATGAGTTTTTCCATTGAGAAGATCAGCTAAACAATATAATATGGATAAACTGCCATATAAGGCTAAGCGCAGGTGATGCTAGGGATAAAAGTTCATTGTAAGACTTTCGGATCGCCACTCTCGATTTATTTTTATGCCTGAATGTTCACAATATAACGCGTTCTTTCAATTTAACTTAATTTTGTTCCATTCAGTTTTTGCAGAAAAAATCGTTTTTTAAGGTTGTTATTTTTAATAATTAAATATAAATGTAAATATCCTTATTTGAGTTTGGTATTTATTTGTAATTAAATATTAACATTGATAAGTTTTAATGTATGCTCAAACAAAAAATGTCTTAATTTCATTTTTAATGTCCCAAGTATGATAGTTTTTTGCTTTTATTGTTCTAGGCTTATCCAATTCCTACCGGATAATTTCTTCGTTATTAAATTATTGTTCTTCAAATGACCCAACACTCAAAACATGGCAGTACTTATCCATTATTTATGTCGTGAAATTAAATTTTTGAAATTAATTTAAGACTCACCATTTCTTATAATTTATAAATTGCAGAAAGCTCTTATGAATGCTAAAAGTACGTGTAAATTTAAACAAAAATCACAATAAAACCTCCTAGAATTTAAAGTCTGTTCAAAAGTGGCCTCGTAGACATAGCATAAACGGAGGGATTCCCCGGAAGTTTCAAGAGTTTCTTCAAGCTTTTACAGGCTAGTTATTGTTTACATCCAGTTCCAGATCTATATCATTATCATAGTTAAATAATTTTGATTTTTACTGAATTATAGATTCTTGGATTATCACAGAATAATTCAAACAAATCATCTGGTTTTTTAAGTTAAAATATTATTATTTTTCTAACATTTGCTTCAAATAACTATTAATGCTCTAACTAATAAATAATATTGAAAATAAACATAAAATGTCATAAATATATGGTTCCTTGTTGGAAAATTCGAAATTTCGTAGGTTTTTTCTTTCTTTTCGAGAGTTAAGCTCTTGAAAAGACATATTTGCAATTGTTTTACGCTCAGTTCACTATTTTACAATTAAAATATTTCGTGCTTGGCCAAAACAAGGAAAAAGCTTGTTTCTTACGAAGAAAAAAATTTTGTTCATTTAACGACGAAATATTCTGGCTCAAGTGTTCAAAGAGAGAAAGGTGAAATGTACAACAAGAAATTTTTAAAAAAATGTAACTTCAAAATAAACGCAAATCACCTGTAATATTTAATTGCACTTGCTCAAGATAAAAGATATTTTTTTTCAATTGTTTTAGAAATGTTTTATATAAATTAAATGTTTCATTACTGCCTCTTCCACATTTGAAAATAGCTCTTAATAGACACTTTTTCTAGTAGAATTCTATTCCTTACCTAACTTAGACTTTAAATTTAATTCATTAAAACTCCGATTATAGATTTTTCACCAAGTTCAGAAAGGCATGATGGGAAATATGTACATACTTGTGGACGAGTTCTCGAGATACATATCTTCTGTTGACATGAAAAGTCCGATGGACAGATTGGAAGCATTTGAAATTTTGAACACATTCCTGAAACTGGACATGAACTTGAAACTGGACAAATCCAAGGATACCAAATACATACAAGTAAGGCATAGAAAACTTATTTCACCTATACATTTTAATTATGTTAGCTTTACTATTAAAAAAACAAGCATCCCAAATTATTAAAGTAATTAAAATAGTATGAAGAACTTCGCACAAACCTTACAGAAATTAGTTTTCCACAAACCGTCTGAAATTTTGATATGTTGTAGTTTATTCAATGCTGATAGAAAGACTAGTTGGGTATGAAACTCAAAAATGGATAGTTTTCGATACATAATGGTTTTTTTAATCCCATTTAAAAGCCATTTCAAATTCGAGTTGCGCCTGCCATCAATTCGACGTTGAATCACATTGTAGATACCTCAAGCTATAATACAGTGCACCTTTGCTGCAATATATTTAGGTTCAATTTAGCACCATATAAAAACAGCAGAAGTCCTGAAAGATATTACTGCTCAATATACTCCTTATTTCGAACAATGTGCGTACCAACGTGTGAATGATTTATGAAATTCATTGCATAATCTTATTGTCAACTGATGCGAAAAAGCATTTAATAATATAAATAGGGACTGATTTACAGGGGAAATTTCGAGGCATGCTCCCAGGACTCCCATACCAAATTATGTATGAAATTTTTCAACTAGTTTAGCCAGTAACTTTCTAGGCAAAGACCTTGTTTCCTACGTAATTTTCCTATTCTCAAAAACAATACTTACTCTATCAATTAAATTTTAGGGTTTTCTTTAGTTAAGCTTATTTAAGCTTTACATTTCTATTTGATGCACTGCTTAATAAGACTTTAAAATTTGCTGTTGTCTAAAAAATTATCTTTTGATAGTGTGGCTAAAAACCATGCATTGTTAACTGAACCTTGTCGACTTCCTTAGAGCACCCCCAAGAGGCTTTGTGCCCAGGGCCCCGAGATCTGTAAATCGTGCCCTGATTATAAAAACGTTTACTAAATTGTAACCAACATAATAAGGAACTTTAATGCAGTGCTTTTAAAAAGTAATGTGTCCAGATAATTTATTGAACTTTACGTAATTAAGTTATGTAAAGTAAGAAAGGTAACCTCTTTTCGCTACACGCATGGACTCGTCGAAACCTGCTCAGATTTTAATGTCGTACCCATGAAGACTTCTGGTTAGCATTGAATAAAAATATTGAATAATATCAAAATTTCAGACAATTTGTCCTAGCCCAATTTTCACAAGGTTTGTGCTTATTTCGAACCATAAAAATAGCATTTGCTGTTAGCATTACTTAGGGACACTTGACAGATGAAAAATTGATGGATATTTCTACAACTGCATCACCTATAATATATAACTCAATACTATACTTAATTTTTTTTTTGATTTACCCTCACAAAACTAATCAAATTGATATGTTTATACTCATTTCGTGAATTTTAATTATATTTCAGACTTTGTTACATGCTTCCAACGAGCTTATAAGAAAGAAAACTGTATCGTTTGCCCCAGGATCTCAAAAAAATGTAAGTCTATAACTTATTACATTTCTTAAAAAAAATTTATTATTAAATTTTTAACATAGTTTTCGATCAAATTTCAATGAATCGGCTTATGCATACTTGCATCTCATTTGTATGCACTATATTTTATGCATATTTGGCTTATGTGTACTTTCATAATTTTACAGCAATTAATTACTCAAAAAGTTGTTGAAATGATACACCATTTGACTTCTTTTGCTGAAAGAGCTCTCAGAGGTTTACTGAAAACTCAAAAAAAGCATATTATTTTCAAGTCCACTCCTAACGTAGGTAAGTCTGACAATAAAAGAAGTCACTAATTTCCCTTTTGAATCTATATTTAATAAGTATTTTGATTTAACAATGAATTTTTCTAAATTAATTCTTCTAACATTTAAATGTACGTTTTGTCTTTTTGAACTAGCTATGTATTTATACAGAGGTAAACTTAGTGGTCAGTTAGCATTGGCAAATATTTCAGATGATCATTATGGCGCCGAATCTCCTTATTCAAGCTTAGGTAAAATATTCATCATTTTCATTTCATTGTGTTCAATTAATGAACTGTGTTCAATTAATAAATATAACAATATCGAGTTTTAATATAATGTCTTAAATTATCTACGCATTCTATTTTTATCTTTTCACCTAATTTTTTCTACTAAAGTGACTTGTTAAATTTTATTAAGTCTCTTCATCAGTTAAAATATAATTTATTTATTTTACCACTACCGCTTAATCGCCAATTTATCTAATATTTGTACTATGCTCGCTCTTCAAAACAAAAATCTTATAATTTTAAACTAGATCTAAGAAGTTTCAAAGTCAACAAAGTGAAGATTTTTTTGAGGAGTACTGAAAACAGTTTGCATCAGCTTTTCACGCAGAAAAAATATACGAAAATATCTCATAGATAGCCCGATTGTAGAGATGTGGTAACTCAAGAGATAAGAGAGAGACTTAAGAGGTAAGGAAACTAACGAATAAAGTATTGGCAGAAACTCGCCTTCATGGCAGACTTTGGGTATAGCTAGCCTTCATTGGAGTCATATGGAGACGAAAATCCCTTAAACCCCGATAGTGGTTGGTGGTCTGAATTCAGCCATACTGTAAAATATTCCAGATCAAATTTAGGTATTAAATACCGGCACTTTGGGTGCATCTTCCCTAAAATCCATTTTTATCGCAAAATATTATGCCGTAACTTTTGCAATAATATTTATCTAATTAAAGTGTTTCAGTGATTTTACCGGTAATTATTACTATAAAAATTAGAATATATATCATATTTATTGTTCCGCAACTAGTTTCGGTAAAAATGGATTTTACGGTAAGAAAGTACCGGCACGCTAAGTGTCGGTACTTTTTATAGTAATTTGATCCGAAACTTTTTTACAGTGAAGTCCTCAGGAAGATTGTAGTTTTTCAAAGTGTGTGAAAATATCTAAAACAGAAAAATGTAAACAATTTAGATTTGATTCGTGTTTAGAACCGTTTTAGTAAAGCTGTCTAACAAGTTACAATACCATTACATATTTTTTTCCTTTACTACTTGACATTCTATACTTTTATGATTTTAAAACTGCTTAATTCACTGCTGTTAAAGCGAGATAACTTTCATATTCTTTTTAGAAAACACTCTGGAACGGAGTGCATATGCATTGATAGGAATAAAAGGTCTGAGAGATATACTGTCAACTAACAAGTATTTAGTAATCAGTGACGTAGGAGTGACAACTATAGTTTCGCCATTAAATACCTTGAATCACATGCAGCATCCTCCCACATATGATGTAGGATTACAAATGGAAAAAGTAAACAACATTTTTTAATAATTCTTTAAAAAAAAATGTGAACAAATTTCTTAATCTTCCTCTTTTTTGTTAAAAGTTTCATAAATCAATTTTTGATGTTTTCTGTGGTGTTTATAGGTTTGTTTGCATAGACTAAGCATAGTGTATCTTAATCTAAGCAACCTTGTGTAGACTTACATGTTATTTAATTAATTAATTTATTTTTGAATTTTATTAGGTCATTTTACCTCACATATTACTTTCTTTTAATTCACAATTTTAAAATAGGCTAAGTAGGAAACTATAATCTGCTTTGCACTTCAAGTAAGTTAATAGTTAACCACTTAAGCAACAAAAAAAATTTCATTTTGGAAATTAGTCTATTTTGATAGTCTATTCGAATTACTATACATTTAATTGAATCGAATAATCTGCATCGCATCTTAAATCCTGCCTTGAGAGAAATGAGTAGTTGCTTGATTAGTATTATTATGTCTTGCTATACTTTAAAATATAATAAATAAACCGGGTCTTCCTTATCGATGGCAAATTATTACATTTCAGGAATCCTACTGGTTTTGGCGCAATTTTTTTTAAATAAAGGCTTTCTTGAAATTTTAATTTTATGTTTGGTAAGCAGGGTAATTGTAAATATTTGGTAATAAATTAAAAGTAAAATTTAAAAATTTGTAAAATAATTTTAAAAATAAGGGTGAATTTGAGCTTAAAAGATACGAAATAGAATTAAATATATTGTTTAATATTGAATTTTTGAAGAAAATTCCTAAAATTCTGACTAAAGCTTCAAATTCTTACTTAAATAACTTTACTTAAAGCTTGATAAAAGTATAACAAACTCAAAGTTAAAATTTAGCTTTCAAAACATCACTAACATAAAACGGAATCTACAAACGAAATTTCAAAGCTTTTATGACTTCAATAAGCTAATGAACTTCTTTTTTTTTTCATGTGTGTTAGTATTAGGACTTTTTTCTCAAAATCAATGTTCTTCAGAAAATGCATTTGGAAAGCTGAAAAATTCTGAGAACAAAAAAATTTATAATTCGAATATTAATTTCTGAGAGTGAATTTTATCGTTTTAAAATTATAATTATACAAATAAAAAAGTTAAAATACTCAAAGTTTAACAAAAGACCTTTTAGTTTCGCTTTCGGGAGTTTACTTCTGGTTTCGCTTACATATATCAATATAATGAAAAAAAAAACTGCTAAAACTTTATTTCTAAAAGTCGGAGATAAAAAATTTGAAGGGTTTTCGAAAGCTAATGAACTAATTTTCTAATAAAGATAATAAAAAACATCGAAATTTTCGTCGAAATATCTGATTTTTCTCAACTCGAATACTTTAAGCAACCATAAAACGAAAACTATTCCAAAATCCAGTTATTCACTCACTAATGAAGAAAACGGAACTAGAAGCATCATAATTGAGAAGTATTAGAGAGCAAATAACAGAAAAGAATGAAAGGTGATCATTAATAATACTTAGACATTTCAGCATGCAATCAAACCGGTTTTGATCTTTTTAATCTGCCTCTCACTCATGTTATTTAACAAATTTTGATTCCATTCTGTTTCTCCCTTGCTTAAGTATTAATTTGTCACCCCTAGTGTGTATATTTATTTACTTATTTTGGATAAGGATTTTTAAATATAAATAAATATTTGAGGTGAGTACGCACCCTATATTTAAAACCAAACTTGTTGTTTAATTACACTTTTTTTTTATTAAGGATATCCCTGAAGGATACATTATGAGATGTGGTCAACTGTGGAATATGTCGCAGTAAGTTGAGATTTATTTTTACTATCTTATTCATTTAACTTTTAATATTCATATTTAAAATGCTTTATTTTACTAATTTTATAATATTTCATTTTATAGCTTATGGAATGTGAATGATTGTTCAGCGTTTTCTGTGAAAGGTGATATGGTGACCTGCCGTTGTCGTAATTTGGGTAGCATTGCTTTACTGCTAGAAGAAATCGGAGTTGTAAGTTTTCAAATTTTAAAATACCAGCTTATCTTTTAATTTTTTAATGAAGAAAGTGAAGTGGTGTGCATAAAGGGGGGGGGAATAAAAGGCAATGACTAGCTCACTTTTTTATAATATCGTTATTTTATTTTAAACAACATGATTATATTTAAGCACACAGCACATTCACAGACACAACATATAAAACATATATGAAGAAGAAGAAAATAAGGAGCTCTGTATGGCAGGCTTTCTACCATTCGTTCACTACCACTCTCCTCTGTCTCTGAGTTTTTTTCTAGTTTCTCGCTAGGAGGCGTTGCTGGTTTTAGTTTCTTCATAGACTTTTTAATAAAGAATAATATTTATATAAATGTTCTTCTACATAATTACTTGAAAAGATTTATTTCTACTTCACTTTTTGAGTAATTTTGTCTGGAATTTTTATCGTTTTTTTCTCGCTTCTTCATTCCATTTAATAACTTTCCATAAAAACAAGACAATTTAATCAATGCTTACACTTTTGAAACAGTGAGATATATATGTATCCAAAGCAAAAGGCAATCTACAACTTGTATGCTTTTATAATAAACTAGATAATTAATGATTATTTTAAAAGTATTAATTTGGAAATAAATCGTTAAAATCCAATTAAAAAAGGAGTTAAAAAACAAACACACATGTGCCATAGTATTTAATGTATAAATGCAATTATTAAGTTTTATGATTTTCTTTAGAACTCGGATAAAAATTTAAAAGTTTTAAAAATTTATGTAATTTTCTGCGTAATTAATTATATAAATGGAAAAGAGCTAAATGATATAATCAAATAAATAATCCATTTGAGTTTTTTAATATTAGTCTTATGATTGATTCAAAAAACTTCCTTTTAAAATTTTCACTCAAACATGAAATTTTTTTTTTAAAGTGAAAAAAATAATGAGATATGGAAAGGAAAAAATAATGTAAGGTTCTAGCGATTAAGTAAAAGCTAACGATTTTAATTTAAGGGTTTAGTTTTCCTTATATATCATTGAATCTATCCCAGATATGCTTGATTTTAATATCAGCAGTAACCCTTATCATAAATCCCTAAAATAAAGTTTGTAAATGGTTAGCAAATTAAGCATGCAAGTTGAAATTATATTAAATTCAACTATGCTCATTTACACGCAATGATGTTTGCATTAAGCTTACTTAAACAGCCCTCTTATATCGAAATTTATTCTAAACACATTACATGTCATCATTAAAAAATGTTGTGCTTCAGAACTTTAACATACTGAAAAAACAGTTAAAAAACAAGGTTAGCACTAAAAACTAACGAATTACATCTTTTTGTACAGGCATATGCAGCACGCTTTTATTCAATCCTAAAAGTAATAATATGGACGTAAAATTTTTTTCTTCTTAAGTATAATGAATAACCAGTCAACTTTTAAGCGTCTATCAAAGGAAACTGCAAATACGTTTGCCTTAAGGTTGCTTGCAATATGGAAATTATATTATGCCGATTCATTATTTGTTGTTATTTCTAATGTCACTCGTCTATACTAGCAAGTCTGTCTGGTGAAACCAAGTGAATTTAAGACTCAGGGTGCTTTTCTTGTTTATTTTTTTCAGGGGAGCTATCTATGACCAAGAATACGACTTCAGCCACACGCACGTCACAGCCCATTTATAACGCGGACCCATTCTTACATCCATTCATTAATCCACAGATAGTAATTTTGACCTGAACTAGAGAACGATCAATCTCCAATTCAGTACACCAGAGGTATTGATTTGTCATAGGAACACGGAGGTCTTTGTGACCCGACAAATTTAACGTGCACTAGTCACCTTCTTCGGCCGGCAAGGATCAAACTAACTCTTTATCGGCGGGGATCGAACTTAGACATGGGCTCAATTCCCTACCAACCAGGCTCTCCCTGCCAGATTTTATTATGTAATACAACATATTATAACAGTATTATTATTTTTTTTTAAATAAATAAATAAAAATCTTGGATTCTTGGAGTCAAAAGAAATCAAGTTTTTTATTTCTTTATCATAGAGCTGTCGACGGAAGATTTTGTGGATAATTTTAGTAAAGTGTTAAGAAATATAGATAATGTTAAAATGAATGATTCTGTTTTTCCTTCAGGGTAGGCGATTGGCATCAGAGAGTCCAATGGGAACAATGATAACTATTAGTTGCATAACTTCACTCTGCCTCATCCTTCTAACATTCGTTGTAAATTTTCTCTTAAAAAAGTAAGTTTCTTTTAATATGTAGTATTTCATCAAATAGTAGTGCAATTCAAATTTTACCTTCAAATTACTAGTTTTCTGCTTAAATTGAATTAAGTTTTCTTTTTCAACTAAATATACTAATACTCTATTCTCTAATAGCTCTTAATCCTGTGACTCAAATGGGACACTGGTGTCTCTTTTACATACGTTACAGTGAATGACCGAAATTGGAAGCTGTTGACAATCACATAGTTGTTTTGGTAAATGTCCGAAATATATACTAGGTCTATGTATGTGAGTTAAGTGCCACAGCCCAATATATATTTGTCCGATATGCCTTACATCAATGCTTTTTTACCCCTGGACAGTATGCATTTAACCGGTACTCTGAACACTAATGTTTCGCCTTCGATATTTTAATATCCTCAACAGATATTAAAATATCGAATAAATATAATAATATCAACGAATAAATTATTATAAAATCGGATATAACAAATATTTCGGACAATCACCAAAGCGAATATATATGATTGTCCACATTCACCAGTGACACTCGACATTCTCTTGATTTCGATCACTCACGGTAACATTCATACTTTTTCTGACGCTAGTTTCTAGTTACAAGCAAAAATATATTTCGGTATTTTTTACCGATAAAATACAGTATGATAGTAACTAAAAAATAATCTGCTAGATTGTAGGAAATATATTTGTTCTGAAATATAAAATCAAAAAAAGTAATTTGATTTTGTTTTTTCTTTTGCACTCATTTTCAAAAATTTATCAATAATAGATTTTGTAAATAAAAGAAATTTCAATAAGGAATAACTGCTTCTCTTAGATCCAAATAACTTCAAATAAGTAAAAATTAGAAAAAATTATTGTTTGGAAGAAGGCCGTGTTTCTTAAGATTTTACCCTTAACGCAGGAAAAGACACCGGTATTTCATAAACATAAATTATTTAAATGCTAAATGTAATTCTAATTTTTTCATTTATTTTTACCTAAATCAATACAAAATAAGGAAATAAGTATAAAAAGGTTAAATAAAAATTCCGCGTCAAAGGAGTGAGAAAAAAGTGAGGAGTAAGAAAGAAATGAGCTCCCGGTTCGAATCTTGAAACCACAGATATTTTTGAGAGATACATTTTATAAAGGGAAGTGACGTAGTGTGGGTATCTCAATCCTGATTGATTGCTGAAAGGTGGCATTTGTTTACTTAGCAACTGTTCCATTCTCTGCCGAGAACCAAGCCCGTCAGGTATCAATTCTCTTAAGTGACACGTATATTCTTTCACGATAATTCTTTCCCAAATATCTCAATTCTTTCATTATGCATTTCTTACTTGACACAAAGACAGGCACGAAGCCATGTAGTACGTAAATAAACTAATTATGCTTCTAAGTTGCCAGGTGCACAAAACAAAAATGTATGACGTTTACAATAAAATATATAAACAAATCATAAACTAAGTTAAACAAAAGACGAGAAAGAATTATATTTCAGCAATTGAGATGTGCGATACTGTGCTTTATTTAATTAACTTCACTTTAATGAACATTTTAACTTAGCTCAACTTTTACGCGCCATTTTGCTATTAAACAATTAGCTATTACTGACGTTGTAGGTGACATGTGTGAATATCCGTGATTTTCTCCATCTTAAAGTGCAAGTATCCAATTTCAATATCCTAATTCTTCTGAAAATTAATTTACTTACAGTGCACTTATTTTATTCCTTAGATGATTTTGAAAAAGGTTAGAATGAGTGCATTAGGAGTCGTTTTAATATCTAATATATATAATTCTCTTACGTATCTCCCAAATTTTGGCTGTATTTCTTTTCCGCCGGTGACAACGTTTGCGTTGTTTTGTTTCCGTTACTATTTCTCTTACACGGCGAATCGACCAATGATTGCCGCTAAAAATGTCGCGTGCCAAATCTAGCTGAGGTGGCTCAACATATAGCGCTTTTAAAAACGGAAATTGAAATAACNGATATGGTGACCTGCCGTTGTCGTAATTTGGGTAGCATTGCTTTACTGCTAGAAGAAATCGGAGTTGTAAGTTTTCAAATTTTAAAATACCAGCTTATCTTTTAATTTTTTAATGAAGAAAGTGAAGTGGTGTGCATAAAGGGGGGGGGAATAAAAGGCAATGACTAGCTCACTTTTTTATAATATCGTTATTTTATTTTAAACAACATGATTATATTTAAGTACACAGCACATTCACAGACACAACACATAAAACATATATGAAGAAGAAGAAAATAAGGAGCTCTGCATGGCAGGCTTTCTACCATTCGTTCACTACCACTCTCCTCTGTCTCTGAGTTTTTTTCTAGTTTCTCGCCAGGAGGCGTTGCTAGTTTTAGTTTCTTCACAGAATTTTTAATAAAGAATAATATTTATATAAATGTTCTTCTATATAATTATTTTAAAATATTTATTTCTCCTTCACTTTTTGAGTAATTTTGTCTGGAATTTTTCTCGTTTTTTCTCACTTCTTCATTCCATTTAATAACTTTCCATAAAAACAAGACTCTTAATTAAATTTTTGTAATTTTGTTCTCAACGTCGCTTTTAAACCGAGTTTTCCTTTTTAATCAATGCTTTCACTTTTGTAACAGTGAGATATATACGTACCCAAAGCAAAAGGCAATCTACAACTTGTTTGCGTTTATAATAAACTAGATAATTAATGATTATTTTAAAAGTATTAATTTTGAAATAAATCATTAAAATCCAATTAAAAAAGGAGTTAAAAAACAAGCACACATGTGCCATCGTATCTAATCTATAGAAGCAATTATTGTTAAGTTTTATGATTTTCTTTAGAACTCTGGTAAAAATTTAAAAGTTTTAAAAATTTATGTTTTTTGTGGACATAATTATATAAATGGAAAAGAACTAAATGATATAATCAAATAAGTAATCCATTTGAGTTTTTTAACATTAGTCTAATGATTGATTCAAAAAACTTCATTTTAAAATTTTCACTCAAACATGAACCATTTTTTTGTGTGAAAAAAATCAAGTGAAAAAAATAATGAGATACGGAAAAGAAAAATTAATTTAAGGTTCTAGCGATTTAGTAAAAGCTACCGATTTTAATTTATGGGTTTAGTTCTCATTATATATCATAGAATCTATCCCAGATATACTTGATTTTAATATCAGCAGTAACCTTTATCATAAAACCCTAAAATAAGGTTTATAAATGATAAGCAAATTAAGCATGCAAGTTGAAATTATATTAAATTCACCTATGCTAATTTACGTGCAATGAGGTTCGCATTAAGCTTGCTTAAACAGCCCTCTTATATCGAAATTTAATCTAAACACATTACATGTCATCATTAAAAAATTTTGTGCTTCAGAACTTTAACATACGGAAAAAACAGTTAAAAAACAAGGTTGGCACTAAAAACTAAGGAATTATATCTTTTTGTACAGGTATATGCTGCACGCTTTTATTCAATCTTAAAAATAATAATATGGACAAAACATTTTTTTCTTCTTAAGTATAATGAATAACCAGTCAACCTTTAAGCGTCTATCAAAGGAAACTGCAAATACGTTTGCCTCAAGGTTGCTTGCAATATGGAAATTATATTATGCAGATTCATTATGCGTTGCTATTTCTAATGCTACTCGCCAATACTAGCAAGCCTGCCTGATGAAACCAAGCGAATTTAAGGCAGAGGGTGCTTTTCTTGTTTATTTTGTTCAGGGGCGTTATCTATGGCAATTAATACGACTTCAGCCACACACACGTCACAGCCCATTTATAACGCTGACCCATTCTTACATCCATTCATTAATCCACAAATATTAATTTTGACCTGAACTAGAGAACGATCAATCTCCAATTCAGTACCCCAGAGGCATTGATTTGTCATAGGAACATGGAGGTCTTTGTGACCCGATAAATTTAACGTGCACTAGTCACCTTCTTCGGCCGGCGGGGAACGAACTTAGACATGGGCCCAACGCCCTACCAACCAGACTCTCCCGGCCAGATTTTATTATGTAATACAACACATTATAACAGTATTATTTTTTAAAAAAATAAATAAATAAAAATTTTGGATTATTGGAGTCAAAAGAAATCCAGTTTTATATTTCTTCATCATAGAGCTATCGAAGGAAGATTTTGTGGAGAATTTTAATAAAGTGTTAATAAATACAGATAATGTTAAAATGAATGATTCTGTTTTTTCTTTCAGGGTAGGCGATTGGCATCAGAGAGTCCAATGGGAACAATGATAACTATTAGTTGCATAACTTCACTCTGCCTCATCCTTCTAACATTCGTTGTAAATTTTCTCTTAAAAAAGTAAGTTTCTTTCAACATGTAGTATTTCATCAAACAGTAGTGCAATTTAAATTTTGCCTTCAAATTACTAGTTTTCTGCTTGAATTGAGTAAAGTTTTCCTTTTCCGACTAAATATACCAATACTCTATTCTCTATTAGCTCTTAACCCTGTGATACAGTTGGGACACTGGTGTCCCTTTTATACATGTTGCAGTGAATGACCGAAATTGGAGGTTGTTGACTTCTACCGGCGAATGTTGACAATCACATAGTCACTTTGGTAATTATACATCTGTACAGCCCAATATACATTTGTCCGATATGCCTTACACCAATGTTTTTCTAAGGTCAAGTGCCCAGTATGCATTTAACCGGTAGTCTGAATACTGATGTTTCTCCTAATCTATCCTCAAAAGATATTAAAATATCGAATAAATATTATAATATCAACAAATAAATTAATATAAAATCGGATATAACAAATATTTCGGACATTCACCAAAGCGAATGTATGTGATTGTCGACATTCACCGGTGACACTCGACATTCTCGTGATTTCGGTCACTACAAGCTCTAGTTACAAGCAAAAATATATTTCGGTATTTTTTTGCAGATAAAATACAGTATAATAGTAACTAAGAAAAATCTGCTAGATTGTAGGAAATATATTTGCTCTAAAATGTAAAATCAAAAAAAGTAATTTGATTTTGTTTTTTTCTTTTGCACTCATTTCAAAAATTTATCAACAATAGATTTTGTAAATAAAAGAAATTTAAATGAAGAATAACTGTTTCTCTTAGATCCAAATAAGTGAAAATTAGAAAAAATTATTGTTTGGAAGAAGGCCGTGTTTCTTAAGATTTTACCTTTAACGCAGAAAAAGACACCAGCATTTCATTCTGCATTTCATAACCATAAATTATTTAAATGCTAAATGTAATTCAAATTTTTTCATTTATTTGTACCTAAATCAATACAAAATAAGGAAATAACTATAAAAAGGTTAAATAAAAATTCCGCATCAAAGGAGTAAGAAAAAAGTGAGGAGTAAGAAAGAAATGAGCTCCCGGTTCGAATCTTGAAACCACAGATATTTTTGAGAGATACATTTTATAAAGGGAAGTGACGTAGTGTAGGTATCTCAATCCTGATTGATTCTTGAAACGTGGCATTTGTTTACGTTAGCAACTGTTCCATTCTATGCCGAGTACCAAGCCCGTCAGGTATCAATTCTCTTAAGTGACACCTTTCACGATAATTCTTTCACAAATATCTCAATTCTGTAGCAATTCTGTTTCACAAATATCTCAATTCTGTTCCATGTAGAACATAAATAAATTAATTATGCTTCTAAGTTGCCAGGTGCACAAAACAAAAATGTATGACATTTACAATAAAATATATAAACAAATAATAAACTAAGTTAAACAGAAGATGAGAAAGAATTATACTTCAGCAATTGAGATGTGCGATACGGTGCTTTATTTAATTAACTTCACGTTAATGAACATTTTAACTTAGCTCAACTCTTACACGCCATTTTGCTTACAAACGATCAGCTATCACTGACGTTGTAGGTGACATGTGTGAATATCCGTGATTTTCTCCATCTTAAAGTGCAAGTATCCAATTTCAATATCCTAATTCTACTGGAAATTAATTTACTTACAGAACACTTATTTTATTCCTTAGATGATTTTGCAAAAGGTTAGAATGAGTGCATTAAGAGTCGTTTTAATATTATGTATAATTCACTTTCTATAGCAATTGAACAGAAAATTAATTATAAAAATAAAAAAGTAAGGATTTTCATAACTTTATTTTTATTCCAGAGGAATCATGGGAAAAGTAAGCATACATGCAGTTCATATAAAACAAATGTAAATGTACATACTTTTATCTTAATTCATTAGAATAAAAAGTGAACGCATGATTTTTTGTTAATTCTTATCTTATCTGATGCTTTAGGTACTGAAGATCTTAAGCTTAAAATAAATTATAATTATGAAAATTGTTTTTATTGGAACTTTCTATTCGTATTTTGTAATATTGTGTCTGAGTAATAAATAAGTAAACATCATTATCCTAAATTTCTATAAGTTAAGTGATTTATTAGATATAATTTTTATTGTAATGTCAGTTTTTTACGCACAATCTCTTGATTACGTATTTTGTAGAATTCTCAATTTTCGGCTATTTTAATACAAAGCAGATAAAGTGAAAATAACTAATGTTTTTAATCAATGCATTATTAATCTTGTTCTTAGTAAAACTTAATCACTATAAAATTTAGGGGACTTGTACTGAAATAAAAACTATATAATTTAAATATAAGACTCGTGTAATAAACTTCAAAAGAGAAATATTAAAAGAAATTATGTAAAACTATGCAAGCTAAAGGTTTTTTTTTTTAAATACACTTTGATAATTCACTGAACTATCTTTTGTTCGTTAAAAATTATTTCAGATGTGTCTCTTTTTTAACACTGATAATATACTGCAAGCAAAGAAAAAAAAAGCCTTTTACTTTTAAACTTTACGTTTACCTACTTCCAGCTTGATTGAGAAGAGCTACCATGTTGACATAATCATTATATTGAAAATTTTGAATTATAAGGTATACAAATTTTTACATCATTTTAAGGAATGTAACTTTATATTTCAAAATACAAAATTTGAGCGAAATCGACCCAATAGTTCCTGAGAAATCAAATTTTAAATAATACATTTTTTTTAATCAGGAACTTTTGGGCCAATTTCGATTTAATAGTGCATTTCGCCATACAAAATTACATTCCTTGAAACGGTGAAAGCAATTGTCCACCCTACAATTCAAAATTTTTTCGCCTAAATTTTTTAAAATAGCAAAAATAATGATTAATTATTATAAATCATTTTTTTCGCATAAAATTATCTTTGAATAAAAAAATTAGAATTGCTTGCGAAAAATTTACAGTTCGCTTAAAAGGTTCTCGAAGTATAGCGTAATACCGAAAATGTAAGGTTAACATTAAGAGGTCCAAACTTTTAACCGGTCACCTGACCATACTATTAGGACCATGATTTCTAGATTGAGACTACCCCCTACATCTTACGCCCTAATACTCCCTAAAAAGTGTATAAATAAATTACAAATCAAAAACAAAATGTTATAAATAACTACAGAACAAAACAAAATAAAATTTAAAAAATTTATTGAAATTTTGAAAAAAATCTAACTTACTATAGAAAACAGCTATCATCTTGAATATTTCACATAACATTACTCATATAATATTCCTTATTATATTACATTCCATGTCCATTACAGACATCGCGTTTCCTCATTCTTACCTTCATTATGCGCAGATGGATTTGGTATATCCTATGATAATCGAACCGCAATCAATAAAATTCCTACTCTTCCTTCAACTCTCTGCGTCTATGGTACATCGTTCTTAACGGCATCATCTTTAGGTTTTACCCATTTGTATGGATTTGGCTTCTGCTTTTCCAATTTTTCAAGCAGCAATTGGAAACTGTTGGGTCGCACGTTTTCCTTGTTATCAAAGAGTTCTATTTTTCTTGGGCCAATGTGTCGGTAGATGCATTTCGGATTCCTGCATGCGGCATTATACTTACAGGTTGGATGCTGAAAGTGGCACTTTTGTCCCATGCGGCACTTAGGAAAGAATCGGCACCTGGGAGCTTGCTGAATTTTCTCTGTTTCAGGATCAGCTTTCATACTTTTGCTCCTGCTAGAGTTGTCTGCAACAGCTTTTCTCTTTGTCTGTTGCAGTGGTTTAATAGCTGCTAAGATTCTGAAAATATAAACAAAATAGAATAAACCTTAACTTTTGAGAAAAATAGGAATTTATCAATGATGATTATAGATTTCAAAGTTTTGTGAGTTCAAGAACTAAGTTGCTTTGATATCGAATTCTTCTTTAACTCAGCAAAGCATACAATTAGGATGACTCCAGAAATGCATCATTAGCTCAATGAAAACATGTAAATAAATTTTATTTAAAAAATCAATATAGTGGCAACAATGATAGTTTCAAGTTATTGAGCATTTGCAGTGCAGGAACTTAATAGACTCTATATTAATTTTTAATTACCCTTTGGTAATAAAAATTTCAGAAGCATTTCAAAAATTTAAATTTTTCACATAAGAATTAATTATAGCACCTGGTGTCCCAAATGATTCGGGCTATTTAACGTCCAAGCACGGATCATTTTGGAACACGGGGGCTGTAGGTGATTATTATAAGCGAGACTGTTCTTCGAAGTTTTCATCGTCATATGAAATGAAACTTTTTTTTCGAATAATATGCTATTTCTATATAATATGCTAATAATATGCATAATGCTCTAATTTACAAATAAAATAGTAGAGCTTATCAAATTATTATATCTAAAAGCATCTTAAGCATCACTGGATATTTTTGTGAAGTTTTACAAAAAAATCTAAAAAAAAAATAAAATTTGTCATCATTATGTATTATTAGCTGAGTTTGTTTTAATACGAACTATATGAATACATCGAAAAAATCAAGGTTTAAATAGAATTACTTATTGTTCGTCGAATATTCTGTAATCGACCAAAATACTGCCCCCCACCCCAGATATCACCGTTACCAGAAGCGGCAGAATGCGGTTACTAGATGTAGGTATTGAAGGTCACCGTGTCCGGCTTTGATGACATCAGCTAGACGTCAACATGAGACCACATTGAGACTGTTGTTGCAATGATCTCACCATATGACAAAAATGTAACCTATTCATGTCTCAACATAGTCACGGCGTAATGAAACTATGACACATTTACGTCTCAACAGAGTCAAAGTGGGACGAAGATGTGGCATATTAAAGTCTCAACTGGGTCACCATGGGACAAAGATGTGACATTTATGTCCCAATAGGGTCACCATGTGATTAGGCTGAAAAGCGAATATGTCACATTTTTCTCACATAGAGACGTCACTGCGACAGTTTATGACTCAATGTGGTCTCATGTTGACATCTGAATGACGTTGCAAATGTCACAGGTGACTTCACAAGTGAGTCTCCGTGACTGTCGCATTCTTGTTACAGTGTTATATGGGTAGCGCTCTCTGTGCTTACTTACCTTTAATATTCATGGAAATATTCCTACCTTAAATATTCTTAAATCCTTACCTACCTTAAATATTCATGGAATTCTTACAAAAAACCTATCTTCTGTGCTTTACGTTATCTTATTACAACTGCAGAAATATTCAATTAAATTATTAATAATAAAAATATCATTTTAAAAATTGAAAAAATTAGCAAGGTATGAGTATTTAAGAAATCCTATCATATTGTGCTGGGCGAAAAACATTGAATTTCTCTTTTATTATAATTTTGTTTTGCTCTTTATTTGGTAATTGAAGCGTTAAAAGGGGATATGTTACAAATCTGCACTTTCGAAAAAAAGAAAAAGAAAAAAATATGTCAGTTGTTGAAAAAAATTTTAATTTGCTTCCAAATTGGATTCTCTTCTTTAGGCAGTCTAAAAATATTTAAGTCTAAAATATGAAGATATTTAAATTGTTTTTTTTTCTTCATGAGTTACCAAATACGATTCAGAATAAAATTATGAAGAGAAAAAAAATTATGTCAATCGAACATGCAAAATATGAGAGGTTGACTTCCGATGCTAATATCTTGCGCAATTTTTAAAAAAAAAATTTCTTCAAATTTTAAAACAATGCTTTTTGTTGCTATTTAAAAATTACGCCAGAAATTTCGTTTAATTTTATTGAATGTTTTTGCAATGAAAGTAAGAAAAAGTAAGACAAAAAAGTCAGTTTTTCAAAAAATGTCCATATTTAAGCTAGGTTTGCGAAATTTCGCTCAGTTGTTGCATTTATTAACCAAAGCAAATAATACAAGCTCAAAAACGCTATTTTTCGTTCGTAAATTCATTGCCGGTCCCTCAAATCTACAATAATTTTGAATTTTATTGATATGTAAGAGAAATCACATGACCTGAACACCTCTAAAATTACAAAATAATTTTCTGAGTATTTTTCGATAAACATGAGAAAATGAGTTAGTATTGAAGTGTTTCCATAATTTTGTCCAATCCCTGTATTTCCCAATCATAAAAGCATATGATTAATCTCAAATGGAGTAATTATACATTATCAAAAACTTGAATTAGTCGATAAAGTTAAAAACAAAAAATAAATAAATAAAAATAGCGTTGTTTAAAAATTTCTTTAAAGAGAGCGTTTTCTCCAATTGAATTACTAATATTTTAACAATATCTTCAGAACCTTTGACAATAACAGAAAAACAAGGTAAAAATATGTCACAATGTTAATAAAAAATATTTATGGAAACGGCCGAAGATGGATTAAGAAATTAATCTGAAATAGATTTCAAACACTTTACGAAATGTAAAATATAATGCCTGATAAATTTTCGCGGATGTAATATGTTTGCACATTAAAGTAAGCATAAATAGGAAAACCAACTGTAACATAAATCTAGACAACTCTCCATAAGCAAGGGTAATAGCTAAATTTAAATAAATAAAAAAAATATGCTACTAGGAGCATATTTTTAAAGGGTTTAAAATCACGATCTAAGAAAGAGAGACTTTTGTTAACTTTTAAGATGATAATCTTTATTTATAAATGTAATAAAATTTAAAATAAATTAAAATGTTCAAAAGTCAGGTTTTTGAGAATGTGATTTTTTTACATATATCAAACGAAATCAATAAAACTATGTTATTATAAAAATAAAATATAGCAAGCGCAACTCTTATTAACTTTAATATCATAATAACTTTATATAAAACGAAGTTATTTAAATAGAAAATATTATTTAATCGCTAGTATCCTCCATTTATTTAAATTAAATCATTTACTGTTGAATGAGTTGATTAATTTTTCTAGCAATTATTTTTTATTACGTAATATTTTATTACTAGTTTCTCTTATCAATTTCTCTCAGTGAAGCAGGAAGCAGACTTTTGTTCTTTTAATATGTATAAAAGGCCTTTTTAGGGCACGGGTATGAGAAGAGATTTATTATAACCCATAATTCTCTTTTTTTCCCTAATTTTTTAAAATGTTATTTCAATACATAATTACGTTTACACTTACAGTGATGACTACATAATTTAATTGAAAATGACATAATTTGGCAATTTCATAACAAAATAATGAAATATGTTTTTAAATTATCTTAAAATTGAGTCACAGAAAATCTATCTTCTAAACAATTGTAAAATCTTTTTTTACTTCTATTCCAACTGAATTTTAAAATTACTTAAAATTTTCAATTAACTACACGTACTGAAACATTAATTAAATTATTTAATCAACAATAATTAAAATTTTCCATTTTTTTCATTCAAAGAAGGTGTTTCCATTTTCAATTAAATTCCTGGTTAAATTTTACATTTTTAAACGAATTAAAACAATCGTTTCGCTAAAATTAAGTTATAAAAGTCTGCAGACGCTTTTAAACTAAAATCAAATCTTAAATTAGAAAAAAAGTTTGGAAAAGAATAAATTATAAATGTAATTAATCAGTCAATAAATGAATCAAGAAGAGAAACTTACTTATTATCCTTGGGCAGTGACATTATTAATAATAGTAGGTATTCCAACAGCTATCGTTAAAAAAATCGCAACACTATACTTTATCAAAATTCAATAGTAACACACTTTTCTACGAAGATAACTTTCAAGAAACGTTACACTGAAACTCGTTGTAGAGCACTCTCCAAACTACACTGAGATATAACAATTTAAGATTTAACTAACAGTTATGTACTTTTGCCATAACAATAGATGTACTTGAGAAACAACCTCCCATTGGTCAAATCTGGACACTGTATCATAACTATTATCCCTCATGTCGGATTATAACCAAGTCGCTCCCCCCCCCCCTTTGAGATTCAATTCAAGGAACATCAAACTTTAAAGATCATGCAGGGCATTATATATTTTGAAGCTCTTATCAATGACAATTATTCCTTGAATGAATGGTGAGTCGTTAGGGTTATTCATGATACACAACTTGTTCGAAAGTGAAAGTTTTAAATGACTCAAATAGTTTGTTAAAATCATACATCAATTAATTTCGAACTTTAGTAAACAGTTGTTATCAGATATCTGTTAAGCTAGTTTAAATATTTATGTATTATTAATATTCTTATTATTAATATTATTATTTTCGTATGAGAAAATAATAACTGAAACCCAACTTTTATTTTCTAGTTCTACGCTCCAACTTTATTTCTTATAACTTTAAAGTTTGATAATGGAAATGTGTTAGCAAGAAATAATAGAGGAGACTTTTATATCTCCTTAAATTGACTTCATTATTTAATGGAATAGTTAGAAAAGTTCTACAAATAAATTTCCAAGTGATCAGATATTTAAATGTAATTGTTACCAGATATGCTGAAAGGGACAATTACTATTCTTAAAATACTGTCATAAATTATAGCAAACGGTAGAACTTCAGCAAAAAAAAGTTTTGTTTAATCAAAAAAGTTAATTTGGAAAAGTAAACTAGTGCTTAAAACTAGTAGTATGATGAAAAAAAAAATAAAAATTTCTGAAAAATATTGCTAAATTCATTCTTTTCAATTTATTGTAAAAAAAATTTTGAGTGAACTATTTTTTACAGTAACATTTTAAATTACTTCTTTTTATGTGTGATTCAAAGGAAATTTTTTTTTATTTAACAAACTCTATTTTTTCCAACATCAAGTTGTTTATTAGAAGTTACGTTAGTTGTTAGTTACGCAAGTTTCTAGAATTTTTCTGTATTTATCCTCCTTCTTCCTTTATTTATTTTCATTTAAACGTGTAGTTTAACTTTGTAAGTATAAAATGGTAACGGTTTGGTTCAGATGGGGAAAAAAATTTCCTTTATAAAATCTTTTCCAAAAATGCTGCTGCAATACCATCTTTTTCTCTCCATTTAAATAACTCCGTTTAAAATGAAGTTATTTTGTTATCAAAACTAATAAAGGTTGCGACAGATGATATTCTTTTATCAATAGCCTAATTTTATTAATTTCGCTTGACAAAGCTATTTACGTTCTCAAAAATATGTATTTTAAGCCATTTCAACATATTATTTTATATTTATTGCATTTAGATGCGGAGATAATTGTCTTAAAAGCTTAAATTTTAAAATTTTACATCCTCCTTTACTTACTATTTTAAACTCTCCAAAAATCTGTTAATTTAAAGCTCTTGCAAGTATATATTTTTATTTATTCAAACTTTGCTATTATGCTTAGTTATATTTAAATAAAAGTTGTTTAAATTGAAATAAAACTTCATTTTCCTATTTATTTCGGTTGATGTTCAGCCTTCGGCAAAAATATCATTGCAGCAAAAATATGCCAGGTGCCATACTTTATCTTTCTATCTATTGAGGACAAAAATTTCATTTATAAAATCTTTTATTATTTTCCTTCTTCCTTAGATTTTATCTTCTGCCCACATGAATCTAATAAGGAACGGCTTAAATTTGTTTGAATTTAGTAAATAGAAATACATTAAAAGCAATTTTTAACAAACAAGATAGTTGTGCTATTATTTTTTTGCCAATCATTCAAACCCACCCCAGCTTAATCACAATAGTATTGAATTAGCTGCGTCAGTCACAGTTTGTCACAAAGGATTATCTATTCTCCCTTTCGAATGAAGATTCTTTTGAAATATTCAATTTGTTTTATCCAGATTCATTTTCACTTGTCTCATGGATCACATGTATTTCAATTTTCATCTTTAAAAGGGAGGTAATCTAAACAAAAATTTCTCAGAACAACACCTGAGAATAAATATAGATACCCCTATAGAGTATTTTGATAAAGCATTCTTCTTTACATTGTTCTCATATTTCATCTCTTATCATACTTGGGTTCAAAGAAGAGTTTCTATTCATATTAAAAGTACAAAAGACAGTTTCCAGTATTTATAAATGAGAAAGATGATTTAGTCAAATCCCCTCTCTGACTTATTCAAATCATCTTTTCCATTCAAAAATTGTAAGAGTGAATTCATGAACACTATTACAAATACATATTTTTCTTTAGGTAGAATTATGAATCATCTGTTTCCTTACCTATCAGGGCAGAAAAAAATGTCCTGTCCCTTTTTAGTAAATTCTTTCCAAGTATGAAATTTGAATTCACTTTAGTTTACACTAAACATATGTTCGCTTTACTAGTACCTAAAAGTTTAACTTTGCACTTAACGGCGTAACTTAATATAGAGTCTACATAACTTTAGGTTATCTTTTCAAATTATTATGTATTATTGGTATTCAGTTCTTGAAAATCCAATTATTAGAAATAAAGTTATTTAGTGTAATATATTTTTCTTCTTTAACTCAATGTACCACTATACATTCTTTGATTGAAATGATTGCGAATACATTGTAAAAAATGTATTGTACTATTGAATTTTTTATATTGAATTTTTTTTATTGTATTAGTATTTTATTGAATGTATTTTATTAACTAATATAGTATCAGGGGTAAAATCAATTAGATTTTTTCGTGATCTCTTATTTTCCTTTATGATATATTTTTATTTAATTTTTTTCCGACTGATTTCTGTCGTACCAAACATAAGAGAGTGGGAAACTTTTTGCTTATTTCATCGCACCTTTAAAATAATCAAAACGTTTTGCACTCAATTAGTTATTACACTCTGACTGGCGTGCTTCAAATCTCCCTACAATTCTCCATCTTATTCGTTGGTGATGTTAAATTAAAGAATCGGTAAATATTGCTGCAAAAAAAAAAAATTGTCAAGATGAGCCAGAGAACAAAATGCAGATTTTGTATGCAGACTTATAACGTCTAATCATCTACTAGCTTCATCCTGACACACGTATGCTCTTACGTATTAGTCACATAATATGTACATCTTTGTTTCGAAGCAGTAATTTTACATTTCGCTCAGTTGTTTTCAGGAAATTCAACAAAATGTGCGAATTCTCTTAATTTTGAACACCATTGTAAATACATGGGGAGCAATGGCAAATTTAAAATGTCGAAAAAGAAAAGATAGTGTAATTTTAGAACTCACTTCTTCACTGTGTTTATCAAAATCAGATAGTTTGATTTAATAAAATCGAATACTAACATTTATTATCAGTAAGTAAATGTTTTGAAAGTAAAATTTTTTTACCACATAAATTAATTATATTTTTTTTATTGAATAACGCGTTTTTGTATTTTTTACAGGGGAGAACACAACTTATCTGTTTTCATCCTCATCAATATATTAGTTTGTATGGGTGCTATTCAACTATTTTTTCTATTGGGAGTGAACAGCACAACGCACTTTGTAAGTCGATGTTTAATTACTCACATAAGTTAGCTTTTTCCCATTTCATTGCGTCTCGTATGAAAACAACATTATCATTTTAACCTTTCTTCTCTATGTCTGAAGCATAAGTGAAAGCGACGTGTTAAGTTAATGGAATTCATATCTATATTACACAGAGCATTGATATGTCTGTTAGCATTAGCAATGAAGAGCTGAGAGAAACTGGGTGGAAGGAATGTGAAGGCAATCTGTTTATGTATACAAACATAAATATATTTTTGTCTTAATTACTATTATTAGTTTATGCAGGTTAGATAATAATTTAAAGTTATATTTTAGATACTGAATAATTTATACATGAAAAGAATGAGGTATTTTAACGAAAAAGCAGAAAATTAACGAAATTGGCACATTATTTATTTTGGTGAAATTTTGCGAATTTTTTCTCAAAAAATTGAGGCAGCGGTAAAATTATACCACAAATATTTTTTAATCGGTAATGAATTCTGTTCGTCTGTTTACAGAATTTTTTTTAATTAACTTTTTTATGTTTAAATTGTAAAGGATGAGAAATTCTTCTTTAAATAATGAAAAAAAATGTTTCTTCAAAATCTAAATATAAAAAAACAAAGCCTATTATTCAATAAATTACCTTTCCTAAATTTTCTGATTGTTGATATACATTTTATGTTATTTCCTCCATATTTTAGTTGGCAGAAATTTTCTGCAATTTTTGAATAAGTCATGCAAAATTACTGTCGTACCTAATGGGTGACGACCTTATAATTAGCTGCCACCTGGAAGTTATAGCTCTCCACATTATTTAAAAGAACAGTTAAAAAACAAGTAAGCTAACGTTCTTAAAAATTCGCCAACACCGAAAGACAGCACTGCTTGCTTTTTGGAATATTTTACGTATGTCTTTTAATTATCTTTGTATTGCATTGGTCAAAATCTTTTTAAAATGTTAAGACAGAAATTTCGATACCATTCTAAATAGTTGACAGGTCTGGGCTTATTTTGAACGTTTAGAGTGCGTATCTACTGCTGCGCAAAATACAGTATTTCCCAATTAAATTCATCAATTACCACCTTTAATAGTGAAATTTTAGTGAAGATGATTAAAAGCATATTTAACGTTTTCTTCTTCCTCTGTTCTTCTGATGGTAGAGATTGGACGCTGTGAAAACTGACGCTGTGTGTTTACCTGATTGAGTAATTTTTAAACTGTTATAAGTTTGAGAATTGAGATTGCGAAATAAAATTTTATTAAATGAGATGCTTCTAAAAAATGTTTTTTTATATTTGCAGGAAATTTGTATGAGTATTGCTTTATTTTTGCACTATCTCTTCCTGGTACTATGCTTTTGGGTTGTTTCGTATGGGTTTTACTTACTTCGAAGATTGCGCTCATCTGCTGAATATATCGGAAACTTCAGAGATTATTGCGCTGTTTGCTGGATTTGTCCTCTACTTCTGTTGATTATATCATTTGTTGCTAATCCCGAAGGCTACGAAGCAAGACAATAGTGAGTGAATACTTAATTGAAGCCTTTACTTTATAATCAGCTTCACCAATGTTTAGACATTTTATGAGTGGGAAAAATTACGAAAAATAAAAAAAGAAAGAGCTGTACGATTTTTGATCTAATGATAGGTTTTTCCCACGTTATGCATACTAATTTTTACACCATTTTTGACTATAATTTTAAATGAAAAAATTCAAAATTGAAATAAACTTAGTCCCATAGTTTTTTGTAAAACTAAAGTTTAAAAATATGATTTTTTTTAAAAAACTTAATCACTCAAAAACTCAGCAATCAATTAAATTCAAATTTTACTTTTTGTCTTTTAAAATAAAATTGTCAAACATGTAGTACAGACTAGTTATATCTTAAAATTTGAAAGTTTATCGATCATTAGTAAACTAAATGAAAAATTAGTATTTTTAAAATTGTTTTAGATAAACGAGTTATATAATTGTGTACAAAAAGCTTAATAACCTTCGTTAAAGTCCTAAATATTAAGATTTCACTGTAGTAAGACTTACGATGACAAGCTCAAAAGTTAATAAAGTGCGCTGTACAACTCTCAATAAAGTATTTTAATCGGAGTAAGTGCTTATAAAAAATATTATTGATTTAAATTGTTAGTTGTTATGTAAACTGAAAACTTATTTAGAGCTAGCTGGTTCTGATAACAATCAGTTTTGATTCTTTAATTTAAAAAATAATCATCTTATTCTCACTTTGTAGTCTGTATTTTACTTAAAATAGTAATAATAAAAAAATTGAATCATATAAAGAAGGGATTATTTTTGATCAAAGAAAAATAATTCAGTATTTTGTTAAAAGAAGGCTAGGGCAAATTTAATAAAAATTGTAGCATTAGTAAATATTTGAAAAAATAATTTAAAAAAATATTTTTTTATTTAATTTTTTTTATTTTCGATATACTAAAGCTTATAAAAAGCAAAAATATGTACCTATATACGTAATTGAATTATTTAAATTATGTCTTACTAATATTTCAATTGTCGTTAATTTAAATAAAATCCCCCATAATCTCTATCGTTCATCGAATTAAGGAAAAGTATTAAATAGTTATCGAGACTATTTGTAAAAATTTTTAGATCTCACTTGATAAAAGATTCATAAAATGGAAACTTGATTTTTCTGATTAAATATTCGACTATTCTATTAGCTATAAGTTTTTGTTTTAACTCCACATTCCGTCAATATTTTTGTCAACTTTAATTGATGCCAGAAAATACGACTTGTAATATTAGCTTCTTTCCCCCTATAGCTGTTGGCTGAACATCAGGCGTGGAATTTTCTGGTCTTTTGTTCTACCCGTTACCGGATTAATTAAGGTACCTTTGCTTTTTTATTATAATCTAAATTAACTATATAAATTAATTATATAATTGATTTGAATTAAATGATAATTTACTTAAATTTGTTCTGAATAATTATTTTATACTAATTGCATGACTTAAGCATTGATTTTGATATTTTTTTAGCAAAAGAGTTATTGTTTCACTAATAATATTTAACTAATATCAGCAAGCTACGGAAACCATATTTATTTTTAATAGATCGTTATTCACTTTTAGTGTTAATATGGAATCATCTCGTAAAATTCTTCCAATACTTTTCTTTTTTTTGCTTTTTGCTAATATATCATGTTATTGTTGTTTCTAATGACCCTCTGACACTCTGACAATGCAATCTCGCCAGCCATTTGCCTTTTGCGAATAAAGTCTGTGAAGTGCTCCTTTCGTTTAACAAGAGAGCACTGCAAGGTTGAAAGTATGTCTTAGCTCAAAACTCTACGGATAGAGGACAACACCACTCATTCTCGAGACCACTTCATCAATTTAGATATAGATCTGAAGAAGAAATAAAAAAAAAAATTCAGATTTCTGTAAGGTACAGTTCAGCAACCAACCATAGGACTTTTGATTTTACGAGCAAGTACATCACATGTACTCGGTGGTTCTTAGCGGAGACGAGGATCGAACCTTGACCCCGACAGACCGGAGTCCGATCCTCTAATTTCTGGGCTTCCCGTTCCACGACCCACAAATATTTCATTATCCTAATAAAGAAGATCATTCTAAATTATATTATCCTGAAATATATTTTTTTACGAGAAAATGTGATGTATTTTAGAGTCTCTGTTGGCGGCGACTATTTGCCCTATTTTAGTTTTACAATCACAAATCACACATGTTTTCAATGGCAAACATTTGTAACTGAAAGAATTTGATTGCACATTATGTGTAAATTATTCGTTAATTAATGATATGAGGCAAATATCCATTTGTTAAAAAAATTAATGTGTAATCCTGTACTTTAAATAGAGAGATTTTGAGTAACGTGTTTTTTTTTTCACTATTACCTTAACACTAACCTTATGCGATATCTGAGATTTGTTGGGAAAGTTTTGCGCTACAGTTGCGATAGCGTTTCGTGGAGAAATTCGTAACGATATACGAAATCTCTCAAATAACGCTTTAAAAGAAAACTTTATCAAATTTCCCACGAAACAAGCAACAGTAATAAACTGTCTCAATAAGCAAGCTAATATTATGGATCTTACTTTTTTTTTAACCGATATACCTTTTCAACCGAAATACTTCTTTTAAAAATCAATTCATTTATTTAGTTGGATAACTTGTGAATAACCGATATCGCTCATGCATTGCTGGCTTAAAATTAACTAAATAATGAAAATTACACGCTAAAAATATTTTAGTTGTAAACTGTTTCTTGACACTACAAAAAGTCATCATGAAAATTTACTTTAAAGGTCAATACAAGCATCATGATTGTATCCTTGAAAACCTTCAATGAGCAAATGTCAATGACTCACAGGACAGAAATTTATAGAATCAGGTGAAATTTGCTTTTATTTTTGAATGTATAAAGCTTTTTGTTCGTTATATAACCAATTTTTAATCAATTTACTTTAACATTTTATTGAAAAAAGGAGGAAAAATCTCATTACGCCATTAGCATTAGTAAAAAAAAAATTTTTTTCTTGACACACCGTACATTTTTTTAGACTTAAATAAGGCTTGCTTTAGACTTGACTTCAGACTTCCTTAAGACTTAATGAATAAATAATATAAATTATAACAGTTCACTTCAACGAAACTAACCAAATAAATTAAGAAATTTTTTAAACCAAATTTTGAAGAAAAAAGCTGTTTATGTGAGAAACAATTGTATAGGTTTCTTTGAAATGCCATTTTTTATGATTATATCATTTTAATAATGCTTTTAATGATGATATCATGAATAAATTTTCATTAATTTCTTATTTTCTTTATATTTTTTAATTTGAACTAACTTGTTTATTTTTTATTTTTCATTGACTTTTCCTTGTATTCAAGTCAAATTCCAAATTACACCTGAAAATTATGCTTCATTAAAATTTTCAAAGCAATTTTGTAAGTATTTCGATTGATTTCAAATTTAACTAAATTCTCTGCAAAATTTTTGCGAGAGAAAGTTAAATAATTTATATTAAAATTTTATGTTTTCTTCCTCCAAAATTATGAATAAATACATATTGAAGTGGTTTTAAACGGGAAATTTTGTAATTCTATAAATAACTGAAGAAAATTCTGCTTGTAGCTAATTAACCACAAACATCAAGTGACAATTTTATAAGACATAAGATTAATGTTAGTTTCTATTTGCTGCACGTTGTTTTTCCTTTGAAATATGGTTTTTATTTCATATTTCTCTTTTTAGAAATTCGTTGAGAGCTGGAATTACTCTCCTTCCCGTATTCGCCATCAATTGGTTCTTTGGTTTACTCGCCGTAGAAGATTCCATGAATGTTGGACTACAAATTATTTTCTCCTTGACAAACTCTATCCAAGTTAGTTAACTATTCAATATTTAATTAGTAGACAATTTTACAGTATACTTTGAGAAAAAACATTGTTTAACGTAATTGTTTGATAATCATTTAGCAACTTTTATTCATCTTTTCTTGCTTTCTTTTTTTAGCATGTTATTTTATTTTCTATTTTATAACCGTTGTTGAATAGCCTACTCAATTTTTCGGGTTCACAACTACTAATATTCAACTCCGTAGCCTTGTAATTTTGAACCCAGTCCAGAAGACAGGGGAATTCCTGTATCAAGAATGGGGAGAAACTTTCTTTTAATGGAAGACTTTTTGATGGAACTAACTAGCACTTGCGTTACATGGTGAGGAAAACCACGAAAACTTCCCATGGTTAACCTGACGGAAAGGGGACTCTAACCCATGATCCGTCTAGCACTCAAAACATTTTTTCTTAGCACGGAGGTCGGTACACGCCGGATGTGGAATTCGTATCGACCAACCATCCTTGGGATTCGAACCCGGTTCACCTCGTTAGAAGGCAAACGCTCTATCCCCGAGTCATCATAGTTCTTTAATGCATTATGTAAATGTTTCTCTTTCATAATCACTTAACAATGCAGACCAAAACTACAATGCAGGAAGCACAAATTAAAAAATTAGATACATATAGCTGTTTTGTGCAAAGCAGAAAAATTATCTATTTTGTGATACGAAATGCTTGAGAAAATATAATAGCAGGCTATACGTTTCTTATTTTCCAGAAGAGCATTTTTGGGAAAAAGAAAAAACAACGCGATTTCCATGATGGCAAAAAGATAATTCTGTGTATTGTGTTCCCATCTAGAGGAGAATTTGGAAACTTTCAAAGTATCTATAAGGAAACAATACCAGAAAACAGTTTGGAGTAAAATAATGTCACCTTTGTTAAAAGTGTGCCTTATCACTGCATGACCCCAATGCCTTTCATATGCTACTTTGAATAAGCTACGAAACTAGTTAAACGATTGAATAAAAAATGGAGGTTCCATTTGTAAGCTTTTCCTCTAAAAAAATAAGTAATATATTTACAGAAGCATTAACACTTTAGCATGAAGCATTGAATTTTTAAAAACTACAATTATTTATAAAAGTTTTTTTACGGCAAATAGAATTATTTTTATTTATAAGTATACTTTTGTTTCAGGGCATCATGACATTCATTTTCTTCTGCATAATGGATAACAATGTAAGTATGAGAAGACAAATTTTAATGGCTTTACTGTTCACCTATTAATAAAAAAAACGGTGTAGATTCATGTTAAGAATACTTGACAAAATAAACCATTTTATATATTTCAGTGAATTAAATAAATTCAATAAATAAATGATAGGACCAACCCATTTCTTATTACTCTTGTTTGTGCATAAATTTTTACTCATTAAATACAGTGTGACCAAAATAAAGTGCATCCAGCGAAGCAAGCATGGACAAAGGAAAAAGGAATTTTTATTGAGCACAAATTATAATGAATGTTGAATTCTTGTAATCTGTCAAATGACAAATCAAGTACGCTGTACAAGATTATCGAAATAGTGAATCAGCATTTGGGAGAAAACGTTTTTGATCTTTTGTTTAATTTCCGTACCTTTAATTCGACTTAGATGTTAGGGGGGGGGGGTGACAAGTCCTGACTTCCCGGAGATCACAGTCTGTTGGAAATCAAGCCTTCCCAAAAAGCTTTTTAAGGAAAGACATGGATGATCGAGATGCATGGACAATGGCTCTATCCTGTTGAAACCAATGCCATCGATCTTTTTATCTGAGCACAGAAATATTGCACAGGCAATGTCTCTTTCTTGGATGGCGATATTTCCTCGTTTTTCGGTTGTAACGTTTTATCTCGGACGTATTGTATTAAACAATTTTCAGAAAATTCAAACTCTCTGCACGCAATAAAATATTTTAAAAGTGACAAATTTGAAGAGCCTTAATATGATTTTGAATGCATATATTTATTCAATATGCACGTAAAATTTAATTTAGTTCTCAAGTTTTCTTAATATCACTTAATTATACATTACTACGCTCCAAACAAGAAATTTAGTCTAACGAGAAATTAGACAATTGAAAACACATTAAAGCTTTTTTTTAAAGAATAAATAAAGTAATTAATTACTAATAAGACTTTAGAATTATATATAGCATTTTTATAACACTCTTCTTTTGTTATTGTAGCATAATTTAATTTCTTATAAAAAATCCGTAGTTTGAAACTAATAATAAATAAATTATGTATAGTTTAGCTGATTCAGCGTTGCGGAGACGAAACGTTGACAGCTGTTTTTATTCCAAATCTAGACGCTACATGTTTCCCCCTTTTCCCTTCTATTAAAGGCGAGATCTTCACTTCGTTACGTCTCAAAATGAATACTAATTTGGATATCCCTTTAAAATTTGCCTACAGTTTTTCATTTATTTATAATATTCTTCCGAAATTTCAATTATCAATATGGATTTAATTGATGTGTACGTACCAGGGCTCGAGAATTATATTTCTCGACATTACCGGACATGTAAACATTACAACCGGGACTTCATTCCGGGCATGAAAATATTTAAACGGAAATACCGAAGGAACGCCTACTCAAATGTTGACAAAAATCAACGAAAGATGCAATGCAATGCCATCGACGCTATGCCGTGTGAAAGAAGACGACATAGATCTCTTTAACTCGTACTTGAGATTACCTTAAAATCTTTTATGAAATTTAACTATGTTGGAACAAGTAATTTTTTTCTATTAGAGGTCGTTTTAAAATGTGTTCCTAATTAATATTCTTATTTCTTTTTGCTGTTACGTTTTTTTTTTTCATCCTTTTTTTTCCGGAAAGTTGGGAAGATTTCAGAAATAAGTTTATTACTAGTTTATTGATTTTCATTAAATTGATATAGAAACTTTGCTCATTTTCTGTATTTCTTTTTTTTTTAATACATACTATGAAGATGTAAAAATTAATGTCATGTCATGTAAAAATTAATGTCAGGTCATGTAAAAATTTCATTCAATTATGTACTTCGTAAAAAAAGTTCGAAATATTTCGAAAGCTGCATACAATCAATTGCTCTAGCAAACGCTCTTAAAGATTTATATGATTTTTTTTTCTATAGATCCAGCTTACATTCCGACTAAAACTGGCTGTGGTGTCTAAAAAACCGAAAGTATCTGCTATGAAATTGAAGAAAAGTGGATCATTTCCGATTTTTGAAAGACCCCTTCTTTCTCTGTCTGAAGATAACAGGAGAACAGACTGCACCCCTCTATTGGCCAATCGAATGTCTTACCACGATTCTGTTGAGGATCCTTGCTGTTCAAATATTCGGGTTTAACAGCAAAAAAAATTCTTATTTGTTTAACGATGTGAATTTGAAAATCTGATAATGTTCGAGTTTTACTCAAAACATTGTTATTGGAAAAATAAAATGGCATGATTTTTTTTTCTCATCTTAACTTATACAAATACATTTTATAGTTTACTATGAATTTAAGAAAACTACAAGTAAATGCAGTTTATGGTTTATCAAATATCTTCCGATTTTAAATAGAGCAAAATTGCAGTTTGAAATGATTGAACGCAATCAACAGGGCGTCGCTTTATATATAAAAAAAATTAGTGACAATGGAATTATGTTTGTGGTTGGCTAATAGAATGATCCAGATACTTGCCAACAAGCCATTGACATTTGCATTGCGTTAGGCTATTTTGGGAAACTTTCCAGTACTTTCTGATCAGCCTGACACTTTCTAGGCTTATTGCTTTGAGCCCATATACCCTAGGGTCAATTAGAAACTATATTCAATGTTCAATTAGTCTCATTTATCACAAACATTTTGTAATAAGCCCAGTATAGGTAAGGCTTTTTGTAAATAGCCTTGTTAAAGATTCATCAAACCTGAAAAGGTTTACCGAAATAAACCAGAACAAATTCAGTCAGGTTAATTATTTTTCGCACATTTCTTTATTTTCTTAAAGGCATATGTGCTGATTAAAATAAGTCTTCAGAATATCAGGAAAATTAGAAATTACTGAATAGTTGTCTAAATAGTCTGGTGGAACAAAAAACACTGTCGACATTAAAAAACAATGATGAATTTCCAAGTAGCCTAGCGCATTACAAAATACTTCCGACATTTATAGGGAGCTCGATTTTTCTATTGACCTACATTATATACTCATACATGTTTGCTCCGTTGATTTTTAATGCGGAAGAAACACGCTAAGATTTAGCAATGAGAGATATTTGGTGCATCCATATGAGGAAAATCTAAGAATTCTGCTTATTTTTTCCTATTGCTTAGAGGAATTTGATAACTTTTTTTTTATTCTTTAACAACATTTTCCTATAACACCAAAGAATATGATTCCTTGTTAGACATGTGGCTAAACCAAGGAGAACGATGTTTAAGACTACTAGACATAAGTACATTTTACTGGTTTGTGCAAACCGGGGTATAATAAGTTGTTGCAACGAAAGATATAATCATTTTAATAAAACAAATAATCAATAAAAGTTATTAAAAATTGCATAAAATGAGATTTTAAATGCTTTTTCCAGATGTAAGCTAAGTATAATATCAGTGAGTTATTAAATCTGGGCACAGCTCAAAATGTGTATTTATGAAAATGGACATAATTATTTAAGCGAATGGACAAATAATTTGATTCCGTTTTCCAAACTTTTTATATGAGTATTGCTTTTTTTAAAAGAATAAACTAATGCATCCAATTAAATTTGTAATATGATATCACACACCCACTTCTATAAATTAGTCTTTTTTTTTTAAAGTCATCAGCTGTTTTTGCAAAGTTGCCGCGAGTGATATAAATTTATAATAGAGTGGTAGTAAATTTACGTTGTAGGAATTTAGGGTTTTAAAACTCACTTTATCGCTTAAAGCTCAGAATACGAAGACGAAATACACGAATACAAAACACACATTTCAAAGACATCGCTTGAAACGTTACATCTGTAATAGGCTTTGCCACCCCAATCCCGAAGTACGGGAAATTTAATCGTAATGATTATGCTCCGTATTTAAATGAGTGAGGAGAAATGAACACATAATTCCTAGTTTCAGCTGTTATATTTGGGTTGAAAACTGAAAAAGGCTCATTTTTTTGCCGTGCCCACTTTCGTAAACACTCGTTTTGATGTTTGTCTATTTTTGAAAACACGCATTTCGGGCCATGTCCAAATTTAAAAACTCACAGACGATGAATTGAATAAAGAAAACAATTTTTTTAAAGAAAATTTCTATAGAATAAAATATCAAACAGCATTATGTGACGAAATATGCTTTCTTTTTACGTAATTTATTAATCAAATGTAATCATTTTTAACTTAGACAATTAATGAAAATGTTTTTCTGCGACTCGGAGTTTATTAGTTTCTTGTTGGATAACGATGTTACCAAAAAAAGTATTCTCGGAAAAAAAAGAGAGTTTTATTAGACATATCACAGTAAATGGTTCCAACTGCAGTCTCAGCTTAAAAATTAATTTTTGCACACATTCAGCTAATTTTTTCATTAAGTCAATTTCAATATTAAATCTCTTTTTGCTATTTTTGTATTTAGAAAAAAAATTTTAACACTAGAAAGTATTGAAATTTTAAATATCTGCTTTGCTGGTAAAATCTAATCAATTTGATCGAGGTTTTAATTTTATGAAAAAATGCTTTTTTCTAATGTCAGTTAAAATCTCAGAACTTAACCTATGAATTTAGATTCATTTTTATTCTCAAATGTACCCTTAGGAAAATTTCAAATTAGAATGTGGTGAATACATAGCGACATAATTGTATAATAAAAATAACTCCCTCATAAATGTACTTAAATGTACATTCATAATTATTCAAGATAGTAACTTAAATTCATCTCTTTGATATTAAGAAAAACGCTTATAATGTTATTCAAACAAAATATAAAATGTCATAACTGTATCATACTAGTTGGCCCCTTTAAAAAAGTAATTGTTGAATCTATCTCATATTTTTTTAAATAATAAGAAAAGTATTTAAAACCTTGTAACAGCAATTCAAATATTTTGAATCAAAATTTCAGTATACTAAATGTTTTTTAAACAGAAAAGTGATACGCAGTGTAAAATGGTAGAATTATGCCATAACAGTAGTTATTAAATTAGTATAGTAGAAATTGATAAAAGTGTTGTCTAACTAATACTTGACCTTCCAAAGTTTTGACTTATTTGAATTTTTCTAAACTCAGCATTTGGAAACCTAATGCTTTAGAATGCTTAGAAAAAAAAATCTGCATTTATGTTGCATGAAATCTATTTACGTTAGATTAGGGATAATCAAAATTCTGTACCAGAGGGCCACACCAATGAATTAGGGATATTCCATGGCCACACGTTAGAAAAAATTAGATAATAGTCGGAAAAAATGTATTAGCTGCAGTTAACTTTAGCGTAAATTGCAATGTTTTACAATTTATAACGTGATGGTTAATGAAAAAATACAATAAAATTATAGTAGAATCAATTTATTTTATCCAAAATGTTACTGATTGAAGTGGACAAGTCATTTTCAGATTTTATGAGAAGTTTACCGTTGTTTTTACTTAACCAATTAAAGCATCAATATCACGTGAAATATTGGTAATTGCTAATCTTAAAGAATCCTCTGAACGTTGATCTGATAAATGTGTTCTTATTTTTGATTTTGAAGCCTTTAATAAACAAGTCTGTTTAGTGTTTTATATTTCAGTTTTTATTAAAACACTTATTGGCAGGCTTATTAATTAGTCATTCAATTTTTTTCACTACTAATAATCAGCTGAAATAAATGTCACTCTTCGGATTTCATATCGAACTATTTTATTTTGGATCAACGTAGAACAGCCGATCCAATTCTGAGTTTACGACCATCAGTGTTCAACTCCGTACCCATGTAATTTTGAAACCCAATATTTCATCCAGGATGGGTTGCATCCTGGATCAAATATTGGGTCAAACTAACATTTATAGTGGACTTTTTGATGGAACTAACTAGAATTTGCCTTGCATGGAGAGGTAAACCCCCCAAACCTCTCATGATTAGCCTGACTACAATGATATTCTAACCCATGATCCGTCTACCACTGAGGACATTTTACGTCAGTTCCGTGGTCAATGTGAGTCAGGAGCAAAATTCGTATGAACCAACAGCCTCTGGGATGGAACCTCTGGTCACCTCATTGGGAGGCGAAATCTCTGTCCACTAAGCCACCTCGGCTCTTATCGAACTATTATTTTAAACTGAATAAAATAATTAAGAGGGACGATGAAATATCGTCGGATGTCCACTATAGTGCCCCTGGGGTGCACGATAAAGGAACCTACTTTAAATCAACTTGTGAAAATATAAGAAAATATTTATATGCATTAGACTTATTTTGATTTTTTTTTTAAACCTACAATTTAGAAGTGAGTTAAAAATGTATATAAATCTATCTAGCTGTAAATTTGCCTCCCATATGTGCTGAAAAAACAAAACAACTGACTTGTCAAATCAGTGAGATGTAAAGTTTCGTCCATTTTTCTATTGTATTTCGGTAAATTTCAATGATCAGGGCTGATTAATTGAAGGGTAATTTAAAGATGACTTTAAGAAACGTTGTAAATAGGAAGAAAAAAAAATCATGCCACTTTAATTTACTTGAATGTATAAGCGCCAGCCATTAAAAAAATATATAATTGTATGTATGAAATTACTTAAATTAGGCTCGTTGATGTAGTTAAAATGACGTGTATCTTTTTAAATTGTTATATCTTATTCAATGTTATTGACTGAAACTTATTTGCAATTGAATCTGACATTCTATATGAATAAAGTTGAAATTGTGGATAAATATGTATTTCTTCATTTCGTTATATGTTGTTAAAATACACAATAACATAAACATTTTCACAACTATGCATTTTAAGGGGATTAAATGGAAAAAAAATATTTCCGTTTATCTCGTCTTTCCATCACCGAAATCTCCTTCATGTATTTCGAAAGTGATACGAACAAGAAATATTTTCTACACTTTAACCCACTTGAAATATGCAGGTTTTTAAATACGCTTTCCTCGACTGTAATTTTAATGGCATTTTTGTTCTTTCTTCGCTAAAATATAGATTTGTAAGAGCCAATGTGTTTACTTTTTCTCTCTCATATTTTAGTTCTTTAAATTTCCCATTGAAGGCAATCATAATGAAACTCCCAGTTGCGCATAAAATTTTAGATTGATATAGATTTATACCTATCAGCAAATCTGCAAGTTTCACTGACTTGAAATGTTTGAATGCACTTTTTACATTGGTGAAGTCGATGGTTAAAGAGAAAAAAAAAGGTTTGCTAGTTACAAAAAAAAAAAAAAGTGAAGAAAAAACGATGGAAATTTGAATAAAATTATAGAGATAATAATCAAATCAATTTCTTCATTACTGTAGCGGAATTTTATAAGAAAAAAAACAAATAGAAAGATACATTAAAACTTTAATTATATGTTCAAAATTTTAAATTGGTATATATATTCTTTTTTTCGATATTCATGTGCCACCTTTTTGGAGTTATTGCTTGCTTATCAACGATTTCAACCCCCCTCCCCCACCAGCTGTCTTCGGCCTTTTCAATGAAAGCCTTTACAATGTAGTACAATGAAAAGACAAACAACTTGCCAAAATCCTGCAGAAAGCTATCAAGTCGCAAACAACTTTCTATAATACATATTTTCGCATTCAGTACATTATATATAGCATATTATATAATATTCTATATACATTATAAGCATAAAATTTCAGGCATGCCATGTTCTTATAAATTTTATTTTTTCAAAAAATTACTTATAAGACTTTTTCTAAACAATCTAGTAGCATAAAAATGCCTTTAAAAGAAAAGAAAAATAATAATAATACATTTATCACCAATATTTAATTTCGATTCTTCTCTAACACTAATTTACATTTTTATTACCTCTTAAGTCCCACAATTTCTGCTCTTCCAATATATTTCCTCGTATTACTTTTACTTATGAATGTATAAGCGTATAAAGCTAAGCACTGAGGTAGCTTGACAATTAATATTTGTCGTTAGACTTCCAAGTTACAACTTTTTTTTTTATCTAAGTTTTAAAAAGTGCACCATTCAATATCAATATACTTATATTGTTTACAGAGTTTTACGCGTTCTTTCATTTTAGCGTTGGCTTGATCCGTTTAACTTTAGCTGAAAACGAATTTTGACAACTCCAAAAAACGGCGAAATTTTAATTCACTTTCATTGAGTTATTGAAAAATTAAATGACAGACAGACCGAATACAGTAATCCGCAAATGTTCAAGGCAAAATTTGCTACCAGAGACATTTTGTACAAAACAAATGACTCGCGCCAAAATAGTTTCGAAAAGCGACCTGCCATTACTACAATTCATAGTGGCGCTAGTAGTAGGAATAGTCTGATTTTTGGCGTAATTTTTCTATTCTTAAAATGGCAACCAAAGACTCTCACTCCTTAATTTCATCATTTAATTGGGTATACTATAGCCTACGTCACAGATCGTGTTATTCCTACTAAATTTAACTAGTAAACAGCATTTTCTGCGAACCTGATTTCTAGCAACAAGTAAAAGCATCAAACGAAGTGTCTTGTTATAAGTCGCTACTCGCCAGGTTGGAATTGCATTAGTCTAGTTCCTTTGGAAATAATTTATATTGTTGTTTTACCGAAGTTTATGAATTTAGTAAGCATATTTAAAACTCAGTTTATTAATTAAACTAAAAGGTAAATGTTATTCCTAGTAAGTGGAAGTAGTAGTGCTTTTTTCATATTATACCCAATTAGTTAGTAAATAATATTCGAAGTGAATAGTTTAAAATTTATACTACCAATAGTGTGTCTTTTCTGAAAATACAATATAAATATTTGATTTTTCAGGCAATGAAAGAAATTTAAAATTAATTAATATCGAGCCTACAAACGTTTGTAGGCTCGATATTAATTAATTCTCTAGAATTAATTAATTAATTCTAGAGATCGGGGATTCAATGATCGACTGTGACACGGGATAATTTATTTCGTACCATCTTTTAAAACATTTTAAGATTATAAATAAAGTACTAATCACCTATTTTAAATTTGAATATTTTTAATATAATTTTAACTAGAATTTTGACAACGAAAAAAAATAATTAACCACTTTTTACGTTAAGCATTTTTAAACTTTTATAAATTAGTATGTACTAATGAAAAGTTTTAACTTTGCATATTGATAGGAAGCGTCTTTTTTTTAATTTTACTTAATCAAATGAAGAAAAAAAAACTTGTTTTCTTTTTGCTCTAAAAGATTTAGAAGTAACTGACATAGCGCAAAATTATTCATAGGATGCCCATGAGACGTGATTTCAAACATCCACGAAAGTCCACGTGGTCGCTCGGTGAACGTTGATAAAACATGCACATTTAATCCAGGGAAGATCTAATTTAAGTATAACAGCTCTCCAGCAGAATTCTAGTCAGGTTTTACTAAACTTCTTTGATTTAAAAAAAAAAATATCAATTTTGCCCAAAATCTGTAAGAAATCAAGAAAAATAACAATTTTGAAATTTAGGAATTTCAACTAATTAGCTAATTGTAACTATTTTTTTTAGTTAAAAAGGGAATTATTAAAATTTAAATTGTATTCAGTTCTTTATATTTAAAATTGCGAGCAAATTATGTTTATATATATCGTTTATATATTACGTTTATCTACATACAAACTAAAAACAATTTTAACTAATTAATATATATATGAAGTAACAAAAGCAATATATACTACGTGATATTTACAAGAGAGTTGATATGTAAACTCTAAAACAGGGGTCCCCAACCCTATGCCCGCGGGCACCATGGCGTCCGTCGATCGGTCTAGGTGCGCTCACTGCTTGTGCCCTACGATAAAATATTTCAGTTTTGCATTTTCCCATTAAATGCTATGCAAATTTTATGCTATGCAAATACATACTGAAGTACGCTGGCTCAGTGAAGGCAAAGTACTTACTTACAAAGTGGAGCTGCAGGGAAAGACAAACATATAGTAAAAATGATCGAGGCTATAAACTCGTTCAGAGCTAAGCTAGTTTTGTGGATATCACATTTTAAAATGAAGTCTCTTTTGCATTTTCCAAACATGAAAAAAATGATAAGTGACAGTGAAATTAATTTATCAACACTTGTCATCAACCTCCAATTGCTTAAACAATTTAATATCCTTTTTTGTTAATCCTTTTACC